GAACATTGTTTGGGTATCTTCTGTTAATATCCTGATGTTGCTTTTTGTTTGTCGGTGTATGTGTCTTCTCATAAATTAATCCTATTCTTTCAATCAACCAATCGTCATGGCATTCTACCAAAGTGAGTCAAAATGGAACATGGAAGGAAGCGATGTCATTTATTTTACCTTCCTCAATGAGGGCATACATTGATCTGATCTGTTTAGCGACAATGTGTGTGAGTCAGTGGTGACTAATAACTGTGTATTGTCAGCGTGTGTGTGTGTGTGTGTGTGTGTGTGTGTGTGTGTGTGTGTGTGTGTGTGTGTGTGTGTGTGTGTGTGTGAGAGAGCATGTCCTAGTTCTGATGCTGTAATGTCAAATAGTTGAGAAAGAAGTGGCAAAGATGTACTGGAGAGGTGTTCCTAATTACAAATTACGTACATAGTACACAGTACATTCATATTTTGTCCAAATTATTACAGTAATTTCTGCTTTACATCATTATTCTGAGAGGGAGACAGTGAGATTCAATGAGACTCCTCTTTGTAGAAATCTACATAGAGGAATACATCTAGCCCTTGGCACAAAACACTTTGGCAGAGGGGTCACACTGTGTTACTGAATAAAGAGAAAAAAGAGAACATCAAGAATGAAGAAACTTGATGTGGATCTGAAGTACATTTTGTGACATTGGCGTGTGGAACGCTTTATCACAGATTCATCATGAATTGCCCATCAAAGATTGTCATGTTGCAGCACAATACAACAAATAGTCCAGATGTATAATATAGAGCATTGTGGTGACTTTGTAACATGACGAATTGTAAAGGTAAACAGACAAGCAAATAGCGGTTATAGCAGCGATTCAGATTCAGCACCATGGATAGCACTCAATTGAAACCCAACAATTTGACATTTCAGAACCCCTGACCATGGACAGCACCTGTTTCAGGCAATGATGCAGCAACGCCAATGGCCACTACTCCCCAGGTTAAAGTTAGGTGTAGGCCTATACTTAATCGTTATGTGCCACTTCCAAAACATGAAACTGTAGTGAAAAATAAAAGGCAACACTGTGATTAGCCCTTAGAGGGAGCAACTACACAACTCCTAAAAAAGCAACAATAGTAACTACATCCAAATGCATGAGAGGTGGTCACAAAATAGATTACAGGTCAAAAGGCTAAGGTGTTGTGAGTTAACCATCTGGTGAATCAGATAGGCCTACACAACAAACTCCACAGGAGAGGAGACAGAAATAGTGGGCTGGATGGTTTGAACATAGATTTGTTACAGTTACCAGACCATGATCGAATTACAGTAACACGGTATCACTGAAACGACGTCGAACTTTCAAGAGACCTGCTTGCCGGTGGTGACCGAGTAGCAGCAGCGAGTGGGAGGATGGGCAGTTCCATTCCCCTCGCGCTGCTTGTCTGTCGTCACGAACACAAAGCTTCACGTAGCTTTTTCTGACCTCTGCGTGACAGAAGGACACGTTCTGACACGGTACAGGGACACAACATCACTATAACAGGGCCTACCTATAGCATAATATATAGGCCTATCATTTATAGCTTTTAAGTGTATTGGTTGAAACCATCACAGTCAGATTGTATGCGTGCAATAGTCCTACGTAATACTCTCCGTAGACTTCCACACCCACGCATGCGCGCAGAAAGGATACGTGCGCGCACTTACCATGACATCTCACACGCTCACTCCCATCATAAACCAAATAATGAAACATTGTATGAAAACGGTAACTTACCCATTGTAGGATTTTCATAAATCCTAAAGGCTGTTTGATTATGGTGAACTGCCCGGTGGCCACCAACTGTCAACACAGAAATCAACAATCAACATTGTCTTCAGAATTTGTCGAACAGCTTAGATTCTAAACATATTAAATCACAATCATAAGCCGTGCGCACAATCAATCAATAGGACACACAGGTTATCTGACAGACTCGAATGATCTTTTGAATGTTTGTAGTGTGTATGCCTACTGTCGCCTACATGAATTGTCAGCATATCTGTTTTTACAATAATCTTTCTCATGCTGTCATTTGTTCGCATGGTCATCACAAAAGGCTAGTAGGCGACAGTAATTTTATTATTTGACTTGGGGGCGACAGGCCGGGTGACAAAGCACACATCGTTTAGGGGAGACGAGAGAGATTGGAAGAGAGACAGAGCGAGAGCGGGAGCGGGAGCGAGAGAGAGAGACCGACAGTATTAGAATTAGACAAAGCTGCTTATCCCACATGTTTCTCTGTTCGCCAACGCTTGACAAACAAGCACTCTACTAGGAATTAAGACAGAACGAAAATCTCGAGTCACCCGGGTGGGCCCTTAGTTTTTGCTATAATTTGTAAAGCCTTGCCATGTGCGGGTGAATGCGACACATCAGTCGCAAATGAAGGCGGTGTGTCGGTCTGTGAGCGCCGCACTGAAGCCATAGCCTATCGATTCACCTCGGAATATTTTACTTTTAACCCCCGGTCGGTCTGCCGCCCCTCATAAATTGATAGGCCTATAATAATCCTCGCTATGTTGCGGTATTGATTAAATAGGGTCAGTCGCTATTCCTCTTGATTTACACTCTCCTTTCCACCCTCTGACATAGGCTACTCTGCACAGACCACATAGGCTTCATAGATAGACTAAGAGACAAATAACCCCCTCAAAATACATTCAGTCAACGATTCTATTAGTTAAATAGCAGTGACTGTATGCAGTGCAGAGCAATTATCTCTGCTATCCTACAACCAATAGCTGTCACCTCAACTAATAGCCAGGATGTGTTGAGCCTATTTGTCTGCGTGTTTTGAAATGCTGTTAAAGACAAATTGCGCATAGTATCTTGTTCAATTCTTTGGACTTTTGGACCATGGTCTATTTATGAGCCAACCGCTCCACTGCACCAGTCCACTGCTGGTGCAAAATTGGCTAAACCACATGCAATCTATCACGCCTGTATTGCGGTGTTTTGCGCTCAGTGCTCGGCAATTCGTTCACATGAGACGACCACTGAAAGCACTGCATTTCAGACTAACCGTCCGCCGCTTTACAATTACAGCGTTCCCTCTCCCCTGTTATAATGATGGTATATTGTTTCCCCCCAAAACGCTTGTGTCAAAGTGCGCATTCTGCAGGAATGCCAAATGATGGCTTATCAGATATTTAAATGAAATGAAAACAATGTCTGATAGTGCTGATTTTCATCCCAGAGCCCTACCTGGTTCACAACATCCATCTTGGCCGCCTGCTTGTAGATAAGAGGATCAGAGGGGTGGAGGGAGGGAGGCGTTACATCCTAAACAGCCCACGGGGGGACAAGGGTAAAGAGATGGGAATAGCTGTATTACGTCACAAACTCGTCGAGGACATCTGGAGCGTAAAGACGTCAGAGAAGTCATTGGACATAGAGTGATGACGAGCTCGACAGCTTGGCCAATCATATGGCTGCATTATTCTAGGGGACTACAGAGATTGCCACAGGGATAACAGAGAGAGTACACCAATGTGTGCATGCATACGTCTTTTACTACGTTGGTTAGGTGGGCACTGGGCAGGTTTTACATTTCAACATTATATTGTAGAAACAATCGAGCTGCACTGCCAACAAGTCTAAGCTTCAGGGCTTCAGTTTGACGCTCATACATCTATAAACCATTTCACACTGTTTGATACTATTAAGCCTACTAACATTTTGTTTTATTGTCACGTACACCAACATCCCAGACAACGGATCTAAAATAGCCTAATACACCTATTGAATTATATTCTATGTGCTTATAATACAGTATTTTTGTATCACCTTTCAGGCTGCTCATGATGTGAGAAATCAAACAAGAACTCCAGTAGCCTAGTTTAAGTGGGCGCTGACCATGGCCAGCCTTGTAAGTCTTTATTTATCTTCCTTGCTGAAAAACAATAACACCTGAAAATCAGCCACTAAGCCAAGTGTTGCCATGGTAATTAAAGAGGAGTTTCTAAATGTAGAATGGAGTGGTCCAAGGAAGCACAGATGTTCTCCATCTGCCAATGCACTAATGAGTCATTATGTAATTCATGTGTTTCTTTTGTTCCTTAAAATCATGAAATTGTACAGTCTCTATAATTATCTAGATATATACAGTGCTTACCAGTTTATAAATAACTACATTCTTACCAGTTATTTAATAAAAGTCATCTCCACTATCTGCAATGACTGAATTCCAGACTCACTAAATGAACTGCATTACAACTTTGAGAAAAACACATGACACTTTATTAATGTACACACAGAAATACCTGACATTTCAAAGTATTAGCAGTCACAATAAAACAAAACTAACAATTGTTATTATTACGTTTACAAGTTGCTTTCCTCTTGACCATATATGTACATAAATACTAATTCTCACTGAGGAAGATTAAGATGACTGTCATGAGAATCTTCTGTGGCATTTCTGTTTATATAATTATTAATGACATGGTTCAAATGTCTAATGCTAATGCTAGGCTAATGCTTCATTGGGCAACTGACATGACACACACAAACCCTGTTTCATGATCTATGGTTACAACTGGAGCTGACTTGCACAATAGACAAGGTGTTTATTCATTTGTTGGATTTATGCCTGCTTTTAATATTTTTCTACGGTCTTAGCAGGGTGATTGTATGATTTGGGGGTACATAAAGTGACAGCAAATCAAGTTCAGTACAAAATAGAAATACAAGGCAAAAATGCCGCTTTTGAAATAGCGATAAATACTTCATAGCAGAATAAGAATTGTAATCACGTTCGGAAGGCTATAGTACAGTGCACTCTTACATTGGAATAACTTTTAAAGTGTATTGTGGCCAAACCTCAATAGTTGCTCTATGTATATGCTGTTAAATTTAGTCTGGTTATTTCAGACTCTTGTTCAAGACACACTGATGCTTTCAACAAAGACAAATTACCTGAGAAGATCTGGAAAAGAAAAATACCCTGATCAAAGAGACATTGACAGTTTTCTAAGATCAATAGCTTGCTGCATCATTCTTAACCCCATTTTGATGGAGACAAAGCTCTATCTCGTTGCCCTCCCTCCCTCCCTCCCTCTCCCCCCCTCCCTCTCCCCCTCTCCCTCCCTCCCTCTCCCCTCCCTCCCTCCCTTCCTCTCTGTTTCCTCTCTCTAGTCTCAGTAGGAAATCACACAGTTCATCTCGTCAGCCAGCTCCTCCTCGAAGCGTCCTATTGGCTGGCCCGCCGAACGGGTCAGCAGGTCTGTAGCTGCGTTCTCCATCTCATCAATGGTCATGTTACATGCGTCCGCGATCTCTCGCTTGGCGAAGTTCACAAACTTTGGGTCTCTTGCATAGAGGCCCAAGCCTTCCGATATCAGGATCTGTGGGAGAGTAAGGAGTGTTGTGAAACAGTGAACACAAATCTCTCTCTCAACCACCTACAGCATACAAGTGTTTATTGAATATTCATAAACACTCTAATAGAGGAACTTTCATGGGGTGTAAATCACTGACTAACTTCGGGAAATTGAAATTCATAGAAATTCCGCAGGAAAGCTATTTTTGAGGTGAATTACTGAGGCTTGTAGTGCACTTGACTTCTCCACTCACTATTACCCTGATGAAGTACCGTATATCCTAAGCAGTATGTAGCCTTGGGACTTTTATCTTACTCTCATCAGGACATCGTATTTCATCCATCACTTACCGATTCCACCAGGCTGTCTGCACTGCCCTTCTCTATGAGGCTCTGGCTGATCTGGGAGGGCACCCTGCCATTGGTGTAGCTCCTGTTCTGGGGCGTGGGCACAGGGAGTGTCGGGGCTCCAGGGTACCAGCCACTGGGCCTGGTTGCAATAGCAGGGAGACTGGAGGTGGCCTGGGTCCTGTCTCCCCACACCTGCTGGGTGCCCCTGGCCTCATCCACCAGCATCAGAGGGGCGTAGAGCAGACGCCCTCTCTTTGCTGCTGCTGATGATGCTGCTGACACCCCTGCTCCTGGTGTCGACCCTGCAGGTCCTCCTCCATTGTTGGCCCAGGAGGCCGAGGACATGGAGGAGACACTGCTGCGGCGGGAGTCAAGGGTCTGGAGGAGGATGGAGGACAACACCAAAAGGACAATGAGTAAAATCTTGATTTCTATTATTACATTCAACAGCTTTCAATTCCACATTCCAAATTTGGTACCAAATCAAAATGTCTCTCTGATTCATGTGAGCATTGGTTGACTATTCTTTTGCATGTGTCTGTGTCTTACCAGTCTGGATCTGCATGGGGGTGAGTTACTCTCGTACGTGCCAGGGATGGGGATGTCATCCACGCTATGCTGTGCCCTCAGACACTGGATGTTAAAGGAGGGCGGCTTACGACCTGGAAGGGAAAATACATGGAAATGTATTAAGACTGTCACTGGGTGTTTCTACTTCTACTGATTCCACTGGTGTTGAGGAGAAAGACTGTGACGATGTGATGATTACCTGCAGGAGTAGGAGGAAGAACACGTCTCCGGACATATTGCTCCAATCCATTACCGTTGCCATTGCCATTGTAGCCGTTTCCATTGTAGCCATTTCCGTTGTAACCATTGCCAGTGTAGCCACTCATACTACTTCCGATGGCGCTACCTCCATTCATGCTACCTCCATTCATACTGCCATTGTAGACGTTCCCATTCATGCCGTTTCCATTGGCGTAGGGCACTCCTGCAGCTCTCCCATTGGTGAAGTTAGGAGTAGGACTCTGCATGTACTCTGACGGGATAAGGGATGCTGCAGGTTGCTCTTGATACACATGCCTGTGAAGTTGAGGGAAAGGGAACACTTATGAATACACACACACTCTCTGACTCTTCAACCCAGATCCTCTTCTCTCCCCTTTCCACTCACCCGTTGTTTGTTGGCATGCCCACTGGGTACTGTGGGTAGTACACCTGCTGTTTAGTGGAAGTTTCACCTCCTCTTCCCTCCATCACTGGCTCTGGTTGAGGTGGGGCAGGGGCTGCCTCTAACACTATTTGAGGTGCCTCTGGTTCTGGTGGGGCTAACACTATTTGAGGTGGGGATTGAGCAACCACCTGTGGCGGAGAAGCAACTGGGGCTGGTTGAGGTTGGGATGGGGCATTTGGTGGGTTTGCGGCTGGTGCTGGTTGGGGAGGGGATGGATCTTTTGGTGGTGATGCGGCTGGGGCTGGTTGGGGCGGGGGTGGGGCTGGTGCTTCTTCTAGTGGAGGGAGGGCCTCAGATCTTGTGGGCTGTTCCATCACTACATCAAAGGATGAGAGAGCTGATTCTGGTTTCTCGCTGACTGTCAATGGCTGTTCTGTGACCACGTCGCTGGATATTGTGGGCTCGACGAAGGGCTCCATGAAGACAGTGGTGGTGCCCTCCTCCATGTCAGCTGGCATGTGAGTGGTGGATGGAGTATTTGTGGCAGAGGTGCCAGGATCTTCGAAAACGTTGTCATTCTGGAGGGATGGGGAAACAGAGAGATTTGCTTTAATATACAGTCAACTGTTTTTTGTTGTAAATATTATAAACATTTATTATGCTTACCTATTGTATGTGATATTTGCTTATTTGAGCGATGTCAAATACAGAGAACAGACAAATCACTTCAGTAGATACTGTTTTGATACACTAACGACAGTCAATCACTTACCTTGAAGAACTCTTCATCCAACTCTCCCTCTACACCCTCCTCATCCTCTCCCTCCATTGCCAAGGCCAGATGCAACTCTGGGGCCAGTGCCTGCAGTGACCTGAGCCCTGCCTGACACACACAAACACACAAAGTGTGATACACAAACACACACACAAAGACACCAAACAGTAACAACAAGTGTTGCCAGGTAACTGGGATACCTGGAGAGAGTCTTTCTTGTCCTTTCCCTTCTTCTTCCTCTCCCTCTCCTTCCTCTTGCGGAACTTCTTAAAGTAGTCCTGGATCAGGAAGCTGGCATAGAACTTCCCACAAGTCACCTCTTCCCCTGAGTCAGGAAGAATTGTAACAGAGGAGGACAGGGAGAAAATACATTTTAAACAAAGGGAGGAGGCAAATGGGAAAGTGATAGAGACAAACTAAGAGAAAAAACACAGAAAATAGGGAGATACAGAAAGAAACCTGTATTTCTGTAACATGAAACTGCATAAACTACCATTAGAGTGGTCTGCGTGGTTATACGCTAATAAGTCTCTGTCTAGTTGGCTGAAATGGCACCTCCTGTGGCTTACCTCTAGGGGGTGGAATGACCTCTTCAAGGAGCTTGGGCTTAGTGCGCTTCCATATCTTCTTAATGATGGCCCTGAGCTCCTCATTGTCCTGGTCAACAGGCCCTAGTGACGAGACACAAGACCTTTAAAAACACAGGAGTAAAGGCCGCAAGCACCACTGCACTAAATAATTATGTGTGAATGATACACTCTGTGTCTGTGTGTGTATGTGACCTAACTGACCCTCGGTCTTGATCTTGAGTGAGGTTCTGACTAGCGCAAACAGGGTGGCATTGAAGGTGACTGTCCCGTCACTGAGCAGCGGCACGTTCATAGCAACCAGCCTCTGACAGGACGAGCAAGCAGATGAAATATAGTCAGAGAGGAAGGGAGGGAGGAGGGGAGTGGAGGTGGAGCATTGAGGTGGGGGTCTTAATTGGATTAGCAGGGGGAAGAGAAGCCAGCCAAGACTGAGGGAGTAAATTCCACTGACAGAGTGAGTTCATCATAGTCTCACTAGATTAGACATGCTTGTATGTCTGGTTACAGAGGGACTGTAGGAGATGTAGCCTGTCTTCATATCTTAAGTGGGAGTCTGACCTTGATTGATAAAAAATGTATGTAAAGGATATAATTCTCACTGCACAATATGTGACATATATCAAACATTCAATTATATAAATATTAGAACCTAATACGTTTATTATAATTTCATTTATTCAACCTTTAACATTAAAATGTGATCTGCCCTACCTTGCAGGCCACACGATGGGGGCACAGTTTGCCAAAACCAAGGGGTGGCTGGATCCTGCGCAGCATAGTGACCACATCGATATGTTTGATTCGACCCCTGCAATACAGACAAAAACAGCCCAATTAAAGGACCAAATGGGGGAAAGGGATGAGAAGAGAGAAATGAGAAAAAGAAAGATAGAGGACAGACATACAGAAGGGGTTTCCTGAATAAAGACCATATCCCTTTTATCCTTTTTCAATGTTAAAAGAAAAAGCTAAAAGAGATAGAGAGAGTGGTCTCTTACGTGGCCTCTGGGTCATAATCCGACCAGACTCGTTTGAACTCGTCCAGGTGATGAGTACCCAGTACAGTCCAATCTCTGGTCAGGTACTCAAAGTTGTCCATGATGACAGCAATGAACAAGTTAATGATCTGAGAAGAGTAACACAGAGTTTATCAATCACAGCTGGTCTACTTCAGATTGGCTGCAGTCAACATATTTTGATTGAACCTTTATGTATACAAGTTGGTCTCATTGAGATGAATTTCTCTTTTGCAAAAGACACCTCTCACAGACAGTTGTCTCACCAGGAAAGCGCAGAGCATGAAGAAACTGATGAAGTAGATGTAGGCCAGGTTGCTGCCGCACATGTTGTCATCCCCGGGCTCAAAGTCTGACTCGGGGTCACAGGGTCTCCCTGGCAACGCTGCCAACATGATCTCCTGCCACTGCTCTCCGGTGGCACACCTACAGGAAGAGCACACACGTTAGGACTGAGGAAAGGAAAGAAGACACAGGAGGAAGAGGAGAGGAGAGGAAAGAATGGGGGATGAAAGGTTGAAGAGAAGAGAAGAGAGGAAAAATAAGAGAAGAAATGGAAGCTTCTACCTATCTACTATTTCTCTCTATTTCCTTCAAAACTCACCTGAAGAGCAGCAGGACAGACATGAAGAAGGTCTGGAAGTTGTTGTTCCTGTTGATATGCGAGTTGTCATCTATAGCAATCTTTCCAAACGTCTGCAAAAGGTTAGAGAATAGGGCATATTGTCACCAGCTGCATTTTAAAGACTTTTGAAGGGGATACAATGAATGGGAGGAGACCCACCTGCATGCCAATCACAGCATAGATGAAGAAGATCATCGCAATAAGTAGACCGACATATGGTAAGGCCTGTGAAAGAGGGGGAGGTATAAACATACATTTTATTTACAAAATCTAAATCATACACCAGTGTGTATGTATGTCTGTCTGTCTTGGCATCTGTTTGAACATAGCACTGACCTGGAGGGACTTGACAAAAGTCCAGAGGAGGGTTCGAATGCCCTCCCCTTTGCTGAGCAGCTTGACCAATCGCAAGACTCGGAACAAACGAAAGAATGTGATGGACACTTTTCCGCTTTCCTTCTTGGCCACGGGTGGAGCTCCGGGTACGGCTACAGCTGCGGCTTTGGCTGCAGCCTCGATTGCCTGGAGAGAAATACTGAGGTTTAGGGAACAGTTGCTTGTTTTCACACAATTCATTGAGAGACAAAGGAAATATGTAAAAAAATGTCTAATGCGAGAGAGAGGGACAGATAGTGACAGATATAAAGAAAGAGAGAGAGAGAGAAAGAAAGAAAGAGAGAGACAGAGAGAAAGAAAGAAAGAAATAGAGAGGGAGAAAGAGAGAAAAAGAGAGAAAGAGAGAGAGAATTGTGTCCCTGTCGTGGTCTTACTTCAATATCCTCGTCTCCTCCCTAGATTGATGAGAAGTTTCAGAGATACCAGAGACAAGAAGAAAACAGAAAATATACATAGGATATCATTTAGTATATGACAGAACATACACAAGAGCATTATAAAGCTATTTGTTTGTTAAACAGAGATGTTACAATGAATAACTGTACACAAATAGTTTTGTAGGCCTATATTGCAAGCATTTTCTATGTATCACGTTTCCCTGAAGTAAAGAAAAGAGTTGAAGATGGAAGAGATAAGGAAACATGAAGCAGCTAAAGGAGAGACAGAGAGAGTACTCACACTAAGCTCTGAGACCATGATGTCTAGCACACTGCCCACAACGATCAGAGCGTCAAAGGAGTTCCAAGCATCAATGAAATATTGCTGAATACACAGACACAGTCAATAGTATGGAACATTAGAGCATGTCATCGGAACATTACAACATGGAACATTAGAACACAGTATTGATATCAAAATGTGTCCACTGAAAGCCTGTTGAACTCACATGTGTTCTGAGCGCCAGTAGCTTGATGATCATCTCTATGGTAAATAGGGCAGTGAAGATCAAGTTGAGGATGTCCATCACAGCATTGAATGTTTTAGACTGCTCATAATGCTGCAGGGGGAGGACAGAGACACATAGCAATACATTACCTTTCATTACATTTTTACATTTTAGTCATTTAGCAGACGCTCTTATCCAGAGCGACTTACAGTTAGTGAGTGAATACATATTTATTTATTTTTTTCATACTGACCCCCCGTGGGAATCGAACCCACAACCCTGGCGTTGCAAACGCCATGCTCTACCAACTGAGCTACATCCCTGCCGGCCATTCCCTCCCCTACCCTGGGCCAATTGTGCGCCGCCCCATGTGTCTCCCGGTCGCGGCCGGCTACGACAGAGCCTGCATTAATTTTTAAAAAATCAGAATTTATCTTCCTCATGATAAACTATGTAAAGTATTTCCAATCACTTTCTAAAAAACGCTTTACAATCTTATTCCTGTTGTAATATATATGATGTGTAAATTATGACTGGGCATAGTAGGAACTGCAGTATTGTACCTGTACAGCCAAGGTGAGGGTGTTGAGAAGAATTAAGACAAACATGATGTACTCAAACTGGCTGGAGGCGATGATCTTCCAGAACTTTAGCTGGGACGGGTTTCTGGGAATGTAGATCTTGATGGGCTTGGCTTTCAGAGCATACTGTACACACTGTCTCTGTGGAGGGCAGGACAGGAGACACAGGGAACGTGGGAAGTGAAGGGAAAACTTGCATTCTCAGTACACTGAATGGCTTTCACATGATAATAAGGAACAGTAGCTTTGTGATAATGACGAACGTCATAATAAGTTATTCAAGGAAAAGAACTAACTTGATTTTTGTTCAGTTCGCAGTTTTTGAACTCGGATTCTCCCTGTTCACGGAAAGTGATGATGACGAAACCCACGAAGATGTTCATCATGAAGAAGGCGATGATGATGATGTAGATGATGAAGAATATGGAGATTTCCACACGGTAGTTGTAGATAGGGCCGTGGTTCGCAGCATTGGCGTCAATGGCCTTGTACAGCAGCCTAAGAGTTTATAATAAGAGAGATTTAAACAAGAACAACAGCTTTACTGAATAAACAGATGGTAATCAAATATACTAATGCGTGGTCTTGGTACTCACTGTGGCCAGCCTTCAAATGTAGACACAGTGAACAGGGCCAGCATGCCCTGCAGCACATTGTCAAAGTTGAATTCACTGTTTTGCCATATCCTCTCTCTCACCATAGGGTGATTCATATCACCGTCCTTATACACCACAAACGTCCCCCTAAAACACAAAACACACACACACACAAAGCTATGCTTATTAGTAATCACATATAGTATGTAATGACAGGAATTTAAGTGAGGCATTGGCTAAGAGAAAGAGAAAATAAATGACAGAAAATAAAGTCTTACATGCACTCATATGGAGTGTGTTTAGCTTCATCGGTGCAACTGTAGAATCTGCCCTGTAACACACAGAGCAGACAAACACATTTCTTTATAACGAGAAGACACCACACAGAGTGTTTTCAAAAAAGCAATGACCAAGTACCTTGAAGAGCTGCACTCCAATACAAGCAAACATGAACTGGAGGAGCGTCGTGACGATCAAGATGTTTCCGATGGTTTTGATTGCCACAAACACGCACTGCACTACATTCTGTCAACAAAAGCAGAGACACAAGAGCACGTTTGTACAGTTATTTGAGAGACAGAGAGAGAGAGAGAGAGAGAGAGAAAGAGAGAGACAGAGAGAGAGAGAGAGAAAGAGAGAGAGAGAGGAAGAGAGAGAAAGAGAGAGAGAGAGAAAGAGAGAGAGAGGAAGAGGAAGAGAGAGAGAGACAGAGAGAGACAGACAGAGACAGAGACAGAGACAGACAGAGACAGAGACAGAGACAGAGACAGAGACAGAGACAGAGACAGAGACAGAGACAGAGACATACAGACAGACAGACAGACAGGACAAACAGAGACAGACAGAGAGAGAGAGAGAGAGAGAGAGAGAGAGAGAGAGAGAGAGAGAGAGAGAGAGAGAGAGAGAGAGAGAGAGAGAGAGAGAGAGAGAGAGAGAGAGAGAGAGAGACAGAGATAGAGACAGACAGACAGAGACAGAGACAGACACACAGACAGACATACAGAGACAGCCATAGAGAGACAGAGACAGAGAGACAGAGAGAGAGAGAGAGAAAGACAGACAGAGACAGACACAGACACAGACACAGACAGACAGAGACACAGACACACACAGACACACACAGACAGAGACAGAGAGAGAGAGAGAGAGAGAGAGAGGTGGTTAAAGTGGTCAAATGATTACCTTGAGTCCCTTGGCTCTGTTGATGGCTCGGAGAGGCCTGAGCACTTTGAGTACCCTGAAAATCTTGACCACAGAGATAGCGCTGGAACTGAGAGTATAAGAGAAGCACATAAGAGTGTGAGAATGGACCACACAGCACTTTTCTTGTCTGACTTGCAGAGAGTACTGTTACAGTATAATGTCAATATTATCAGGGCCAATGCTGTCCATGGAGCTGTAAAGGAACAGCAGTTCATCATCCTTCCAATGTCCCTTTTAGGACAGAATCAATTCAATTCCAACTTTATTGTCCTTGCAAATGGGAAATGTATTGTGTAGCCAGAGTATGTATTTCGTAAGACACAATAAATACAGTATACATAACAATACACACACACACACACACACACACACACATACATACACACCGATAGCTGATCAAATCTTACATTCATCTGTATAGCTAGCTAACTAGCTTGTGATGGCCGTTGATTCGATGGTCCATTAAAATCGTGGTACAGTTATTTTCAACCAACATTTACTTCGTAATACTTTCTTTGTTCTTTATTCAGAAGACACTAGCGTCTTACAAAATCCAAAAACCAGAGAATATTCAGAAAAATATTAACTCAAATGTTTGCACTGCGTGATGAGTTTCCTCACCATTTTATCTGCCGGACATCTGGCATTTCAAAATATCTTTAAAGGAACTAATAATTTGTAAGCGAAGCAGCCGCAGCCACATGTAGAAGAAGGCATCACACAGCGAGATCCAAACAACACAAACAAAGATTTTCACACATGTGAGAGGCCATTTCTCACTCACTACAAAAAGTGAATTGAATATCTATTCTCTGGTTTTTGGAGATCCAACTGCAAGTGGAAACAGAAGTTAATGAGACTCCGGAGCCATCCGAATAACGAAGACATTATCGCCAAGTAAAGGTTAGTTGAAAGTTGTTGTACCATATTGTCAATGGACCCCCTGCTCGACATCAGGCACAATCTTTTAAGCTATACGCCGGAGGTTTGAGCCCGCTTGGCTAACATTCCGACAGATACTCACTGGAGGAAGAAGGACGCGAGAGACACACTGACAACCAGCAGGTCCAGGAGGTTGAAGGCATTCCTACAGAAGGAGCCAGGATGAAGGAATGCACCAAAAACCGTCACCTAGAGCGGGAGAAAAATCACAAGAGTTAAGGGTGATTCATTCTAAATGGCACTTACACTGCCATGTGCACTCCAATATACGTTTATAGATAGACATAGAGTACAATTCAAAAGTTTGGACACACCTACTCATTCAACGGTTTTTCTTAATTTTTACTATTTTCTACATTGTAGAATAGTAGTGAAGACATCAAAACTATGAAATAACACATATGGAATCATGTAGCAACCAAAAAAGTGTTAAACAAATTACAATATATTTTATATTTGAGATTCTTCAAAGAGCCACCCTTTGCCTTGATGACAGCTTTGCACACTCTTGGCATTCTCTCAACCAGCTTCACCTGGAATGGTTTTCCAACCGTCTTGAAGGAGTTCCCACATATGCTGAGCACTTGTTGGCTGCTGTTTTGACGTCTTCACTATTATTCTACAATGTAAAAAACTAGAAAATAAATAAAATAAACTTGAATGTGTAGGTGTGTCCAAACTTTTGACTGGTAGTGTATGCATGTATGTATGTATGTATGTATGTATGTATGTATGTATGTATATATATATATATATATATATATGACTGGTAGTGTATGTATGTATGTATGTATGTATGTATGTATGTACGTATATACACTGCTCAAAAAAATAAAGGGAACACTAAAATAACACATCCTAGATCTGAATGAATGAAATAATCTTATTAAATACTTTTTTCTTTACATAGCTGAATGTGCTGACAACAAAATCACACAAAAATGATCAATGGAAATCAAATTTATCAACCCATGGAGGTCTGGATTTGGAGTCACCCTCAAAATTTAAGTGGAAAACCACACTACAGGCTGATCCAACTTTGATGTAATGTCCTTAAAACAAGTCAAAATGAGGCTCAGTAGTGTGTGTGGCCTCCACGTGCCTGTATGACCTCCCTACAACGCCTGGGCATGCTCCTGATGAGGTGGCGGATGGTCTCCTGAGGGATCTCCTCCCAGACCTGGACTAAAGCATCCGCCAACTCCTGGACAGTCTGTGGTGCAACGTGGCGTTGGTGGATGGAGTGAGACATGATGTCCCAGATGTGCTCAATTGGATTCAGGTCTGGGGAACGGGCGGGCCAGTCCATAGCATCAATGCCTTCCTCTTGCAGGAACTGCTGACACACTCCAGCCACATGAGGTCTAGCATTGTCTTGCATTAGGAGGAACCCAGGGCCAACCGCACCAGCATATGGTCTCACAAGGGGTCTGAGGATCTCATCTCGGTACCTAATGGCAGTCAGGCTACCTCTGGCGAGCACATGGGGGGCTGTGCGGCCCCCCAAAGAAATGCCACCCCACACCATGACTGACCCACCGCCAAACCGGTCATGCTGGAGGATGTTGCAGGCAGCAGAACGTTCTCCACAGCGTCTCCAGACTCTGTCACGTCTGTCACATGTGCTCAGTGTGAACCTGCTTTCATCTGTGAAGAGCACAGGGCGCCAGTGTCGAATTTGCCAATCTTGGTGTTCTCTGGCAAATGCCAAACGTCCTGCACGGTGTTGGGCTGTAAGCACAACCCCCACCTGTGGACGTCTGGCCCTCATACCACCCTCATGGAGTCTGTTTCTGACCGTTTGAGCAGACACATGCACATTTGTGGCCTGCTGGAGGTCATTTTGCAGGGCTCTGGCAGTGCTCCTCCTGCTCCTCCTTGCACAAAGGCGGAGGTAGCAGTCCTGCTGCTGGGTTGTTGCCCTCCTACGGCCTCCTCCATGTCTCCTGATGTACTGGCCTGTCTCCTGGTAGCGCCTCCTTGCTCTGGACACTACGCTGACAGACACAGCAAACCTTCTTGCCACAGCTCGCATTGATGTTCCATCCTGGATGAGCTGCACTACCTGAGCCACTTGTGTGGGTTGTAGACTCCGTCTCATGCTACCACTAGAGTGAAAGCACCGCCAACATTCAAAAGTGACCAAAACATCAGCCAGGAAGCATAGGAACTGAGAAGTGGTCTGTGGTCACCACCTGCAAAACCAGTCCTTTATTGGGGGTGTCTTGCTAATTGCCTATAATTTCCACCTGTTGTCTATTCCATTTGCACAACAGCATGTGAAATTGATTGTCAATCAGTGTTGCTTCCTAAGTGGACAGTTTGATTTCACAGAAGTGTGATTGACTTGGAATTACATTGTGTTGTTTAAGTGTTCCCTTTATTTTTTTGAGCAGTGTATATATCTATATATATATATATATATATATATATATATATATATATATACATACATACATACATACATACATACATACATACATACATACAGTGAGGGAAAAAAGTATTTGATCCCCTGCTGATTTTGTACGTTTGCACCCTGACAAGGAAATTATCAGTCTATAGTTTTAATGGAAGGTTTATTTGAACAGTGAGAGACAGAATAACAACAAAATAAATCCAGAAAAACGCATGTCAAAAATGTTATCAATTGATTTGCATTTTAATGAGGGAAATAAGTATTTGACCCCTCTGCAAAACATGACTTAGTACTTGGTGGCAAAACCCTTGTTGGCAATCACAGAGGTCAGACGTTTCTTGTAGTTGGCCACCTGGTTTGCACACATCTCAGGAGGGATTTTGTCCCACTCCTCTTTGCAGATCTTCTCCAAGTCATTAAGGTTTCGAGCCTGACCTTTGGCAACTCGAACCTTCAGCTCCCTCCACAGATTTTCTATGGGATTAAGGTCTGGAGACTGGCTAGGCCACTCCAGGACCTTAATGTGCTTCTTCTTGAGCCACTCCTTTGTTGTCTTGGCCGTGTGTTTTGGGTCATTGTCATGCTGGAACACCCATCCACGACCCATTTTCAACGCCCTGGCTGAGGGAAGGAGGTTCTCACCCAAGATTTGACGGTACATGGCCCCGTCCATCATCCCTTTGATGCGGTGAAGTTGTCCTGTCCCCTTAGCAGAAAAACACCCCCAAAGCATAATGTTTCCACCTCCATGTTTGACGGTGGGGATGGTGTTCTTGGGGTCATTGGGAGCATTCCTCCTCCTCCAAACACGGCGAGTTGAGTTGATGCCAAAGAGCTTGATTTTGGTCTCATCTGATCACAACACTTTCACTAAGTTCTCCTCTGAATCATTCAGATGTTCATTGGCAAACTTCAGACGGGCCTGTATATGTGTTTTCTTGAGCAGGGGGACCTTGCGGGCGCTGCAGGATTTCAGTCCTTCACGGCGTAGTGTGTTACCAATTGTTTTCTTGGTGACTATGGTCCCAGCTGCCTTGAGGCCATTGACAAGATCCTCCCGTGTAGTTCTGGGCTGATTCCTGGGCTGATCATTGCAACTCCATGAGGTGAGATCTTGCATGGAGCCCCAGGCCGAGGGAGATTGACAGTTATTTTGTGTTTCTTCCATTTGCGAATAATCGCACCAACTGTTGTCACCTTTTCACCAAGCTGCTTGGCGATGGTCTTGTAGCCCATTCCAGCCTTGTGTAGGTCTACAATCTTGTCCCTGACATCCTTGGAGAGCTCTTAGGGCTTGGCCATGGTGGAGAGTTTGGAATCTGATTGATTGATTGCTTCTGTGGACAGGTGTCTTTTATACAGGTAACAAGCTGAGATTAGTAGCACTCCCTTTAAGAGTGTGCTCCTAATCTCAGCTCGTTACCTGTATAAAAGACACCTGGGAGCCAGAAATCTTTCTGATTGAGAGGGGGTCAAATACTTATTTCCCTCATTAAAATGCAAATCAATTTATAAAATTTTTGACATGCGTTTTTCTGGATTTTTTTGTTGTTGTTCTGTCTCTCACTGTTCAAATAAACCTACCATTAAAATTATAGACTGATCATTTCTTTGTCAGTGGGCAAACGTACAAAATCAGCAGGGGATCAAATACTTTTTTCCCTCACTGTAGGTGTGTCCAATCTTTTGACTGGTACTGTATATCTACTGCCTGAAGGAAAGATAGCCTATGCAGATCATTGTCAATTCACAATGAAGTAATATTCCAAAATGTAGTATAATCCCAAAAGTGCTTTGTCCATTTAATCTGCATATCTGGTCACATTTTACCTTCAGTATGATTTCCACAGTGAATATGGAAGTGAATGCATAATCAGCGTAGCCAAGCATCTGAGGATAGAGAAGATATCCTATGTCAGCATTATGACAACAATACAGAAACACTATTTGGTGGTGGGCGGTGTAAGGTGAGTATGAGAACAGCAGTTTTGGTTGAAACCATTGAGCAGTGAGGGTAGATGTATGGTAGTTGAGTGAGAGTGTGAACGGTAGTTTTGAATGCCAGTTATAGACTATAGATATTGATTGGGCGCTAGGTAGTGCTTGGTTGTGAGGGCGGGACTGACTGTTGGCAGAGTAGATATCTAGAGGCTGTTTTTTTTTTTTGCCTTACGTTGTTCCTAAAGGAGTGAGCTCTGATTGGATCCTCAGCGGCCAGAGAAATACTACTGGCGATGATGAAGACGAGGATGAGGTTGGTGAAGTAGGAGTGGTGGATGAGATTGTGACAGGCCACTCGAAGGCTGAGGGGAGAGGAGAGACCATGCAAGTGATATGGGTGCTCTGAAATGGCACACAAATCCCTATATAGTGCACTACATTTGACCAGGGCCCATAGGGCTCTGTGGCTGTGACTTACCAGTTTCTCTTTCCAAGAATGAAGAAGGAGCTCCCATCTGGAATGGGTTCAATCTTCTCTTTTGGAGCGGATTCAGGCTTCACAGGCATGATTCCTAGAGAGGGGAGTTGATCAGATCAGCAGATTTAGAGAACAATCCATGTATCACACAGTCTGATAAGAATCCTTCTGAGGTGTATGGAACGACACTTACCCTCCAGACCCTCGATGGCTCTCAACTCCTCATTCTCCTCCCAGTCATCCATCTCATTCTGCACAAGGAAAAAATAAATGCAAACATGAGATTATCTTTTATCTTGAAAACACTGAGGAGCACAGACACTCCTTCTGAACCATTATCAGCTGGAGAAAGTTGCAGCCCATAAGAGTAGCTGCAGTAGAAAATATTGTAGTGTATTTGTCCCCTGAAACAACATCTAGGTACATACCGCCGCATCTTCCTCTTTGTCTTCATCTTCGTCCCAGTCCTCTTCATCATCCTTTTTCTCTCTGCAAAACCATTCATTCACCACTTTGTTTTTCTTCACCATCTACTTATTGTCCTTATTACTGATTCTATTTAGCTACAGTGCATTCTGAAAGTATTCAGACCCCTTTACTTTTTCCAATGGATTAAATAGTTTTTTCCCCTCATCAATCTACACACAATACCCCATAATGACAAAGTCAAAACAGGTTTTTAGACATTTTTGCAAATGTATTACAAATACAAACGGAAAATACCTTATTTACATAAGTATTCAGACCCTTTGCTATGAGACTCGAAACTGACCTCAGGTGCATCTTGTTTCCATTGATCATCCTTGAGATGTTTCTACAATTTGATTTGAGTCCACCTGTGGTAAATTCAATTGATTGGACATGATTTGGATATATAGGTCCCACAGATGACAGTGCATGTGAGAGCAAAAACCAAGCCATGAGGTTGAAGGAATTGTCCGTAGAGCTCCGAGACAGGATTATGTCGAGGCACAGATCTGGTGAAGGTACCAAAACATTTCTGCAGCATTGAAGGTCCCCAAGAACACAGTGGCCTCCATCATTCTTAAATGGAAGAAGTTTGGAACCACTAAGACTCTTCCGAGAGCTGGCCGCCCGGCCAACTGAGAAATCGGGCGAGAAAGGCCTTGGTCAGGGAGGTGACCAAGAACCCAATGGTCACTCTGACAGAGCTTCAGAGTTCCTCTGTGGAGATGGGAGAATCTTCCAGAAGGACAACAATTTCTGCAGCACTCCACCAATCAGGCCTTTATGGTAGAGTGACCAGACGGAAGCCTCTCCTCAGTCAAAGGAACATGACAGCCCGCTTGGAGTTTGCCAATAGGCATGTAAAGGACTCTCAGTCCACAAGAAACAAGATTCTCTGGTCTGATGAAACCAAGATTGAACTCTTTGGCCTGAATGCTAAGTGTCACGTCTGGAGGAAACCTGGCACCATCCCTACGGTGAAGCAGGATGGTGTCAGCATCATGCTGTGGGGATGTTTTTCAGCGGCAGGGACTGGAAGACTAGTCAGGATCGAGGGAAAGATGAACGGAGCAAAGGACAGAGAAACCTTGATGAAAACATGCTCCAGAGCGCTCAGGACCTCAGACTGGGCCTAAGGTTCACCTTCCAACAGGACAACGACCCTAAGCACACAGCCAAGACAACGCAGGAGTGGCTTCGGGACAAGTCTCTGAATGTCCTTGAGTGGCCCAGCCAGAGTCCGGACTTGAACCCGATCAAACATCTCTGGAGAGAACTGAAAATAGCTGTGCAGTGATGCTCCCCATCCAACCTAACAGAGCTTGAGAGGATCTGCAGAGAAGAATGGGAGAAACTCCCCAAATACAGGTGTGCCAGGCTTGTAGCGTCATACCCAAGAAGACGCAAGGCTGTAATTGCTGCCAAAGGTTCTTCAACAAAGTACTGAGTAAAGGGTCTAAATACTTATGTAAATGTGATTTTTAATTTTTTAATTTTTAATACATTTTCAAAAAAGTCTAAAAACCTATTTTTGCTTTGTCATTATGGGGTATTGTGTGTAGATTGATGAGGGGGAATAAACAATTTAATCCATTTTAGAATAAGGCTGTAATGTAACAAAATGTGGGAAAAGTCAAAGGGTCTGAATACTTTCCGAATGCACTGTATGTCTAGTAATATACCCAGACCATCAAATTATCCATTTTATTCGTTTGGATTTTGTGATACTTACTCTACTTGCTTTTTTCCACCATCTCCACCTGCCAAGTTGTCCACAGCGATAGCCAAGAAGACATTGAGCAGGATATCTGATCAAGAGATATTAAGGAATTGACCAAGAGCTTGAGAACATCAGTGAATACAGATCTTATAGAGTACAGTCTGTATTGATAGAGGTTTGTGTACATTGAATGGCATTGTAGAAATGCAAGTTATATAATAACTCTCTCTTTCTTGGTTAACAGAAAGGATACAGTTGCCGACAACAAAGAGGGAGACGAAATAGATACACACAATCATCTGTGGGAAGACTGGCCCGCCATAAGCCATGATCCCATCATACATTACAGCATTCCAGTCCTCTCCTGTAAGGATCTACAGAGGAGAAAATGAGAGGGAGGGAGGGAGGGAGGGAGAGAGAGAGAGAGAGAGAGGGAGAGAGAGGGAGAGAGAGAGAGAGAGAGAGAGAGAGAGAGAGAGAGAGAGAGAGAGAGAGGAGAGAGAGAGAGAGAGAGAGAGAGAGTGCGCGGCTGTAATGAAAAGTGCAAGCATGTAGAATTCGATAGTAGTGTGAGGAGTGTTAGAATTATTTCACCTGGAAGCAGGTGAGCAGGGCCTGGGGGAAAGTGTCGAACGTGCTTCTCTTCATCTGAGTCTCATCAAAGTTGAATTTGCCCCCAAACAGCTGCATCCCCAGCAGGGAGAAGATGATGAGGAAGAGGAAGAGCAGGAGCAGCAGGGAGCAGATAGCCTTCATGGAGTTGAGCAGTGAATTGACCAGGCCTGACAGGGCTGCCCAGTGCCTAAACAGGAGACAGACGGTTTCAATGTTTGAGGGTAAAGAATCAAGGTATGCAGTAGCCTTCCATACTGAATGCATGCATGAAATGTATCAATTGCAGAGTGACATTCCAGATAGTTCTTTCAGAAGTGCATTTTAATTTGCATAGCAGCGTATTCCGGAAAGATCTGGGACCAAGCTAGCAAGACAGACCAAACAGATCTGGGACCAGGCTAGCAGTTACTGACCGTGTGACTTTGAACACCCTGAGCAGGCGGACGCAGCGCAGCACAGAGATGCCGATGGGAGGGATGATCTCCAACTCAACCAAGACCGTCTCCAGGATGCCACCACACACCACGAAGCAGTCGAAGCGGTTAAACAGAGCCATGAAGTGAATTTGGAAACCGAAACTGTACATCTTTAACAGCATCTCCAGCGTGAACAACATCAACAGGATCTTATTGGCCCGCTCTGAAGAAAAGACAGAGAAAATAAAGGTTATTTATTTATATATTTTTTATTTGTATTTTTTCCTGATGTCTATGTCACCATGCTGAATTAGGGAGAAATTACATAGAGAAATGAGAGAGGGGAGGAGGACATGCGGAAACAAATAGAAAAGAACAGATACAGGTAGGTGGAGAGCGAAGGAATAACAGGAAGAGAAGTAGAGTGGAAAGTGTATCCTAACCCTGCATCTCAGTGAGCCACTTGGGCTGGCCGTAGTGTTCAGAGGCACTGGCTGCAGTGTTGAGAAACACCAGAACAAGCACCAGCCAGTAGAAGTTCTGGGATTTGACTGCTACACGACAGTTCTTCCGAAAGGCATGGTTCAGTTGGCATAGCTGTTCACTGAGTGAAGAGAGAAACAGGAGACACGTTATAGTAGGAGCGGAAGGGTCAGAAACCGGCTTTGTCAAAAGTCTGTAGTGTAGAGTACTTTCTCATTAAAAAACTGAAAATAAAACATTATTGTATATATTCTTAGAGCTATCCTGCTCAATTTACCAGAAACTGTTGGCCATCATTTTAGCCCTGCAAAAAAAGGATAAAGAACCATTACATGACAACATTGATAACAATGACATCTAATTAACAAATAATGAATTTCAAATACATTTGTTTATTTCCTTACATAAGAGATGCGCAGCAGCCATTGTCGTCATCGAGATATGCTTCAAATTCAGAGTCTGAATCCGATTCTGTTGAACACAAAGCAAAGCCATAGATTAGATTACAGAGAGCCAAGTAGTACAAATCAAATCAAATCAAATTGTATTTGTCACATGTGCCGAATACAACAGGTGTAGACCTTACCGTGAAATGCTTACTTACAAGCCCTTAACGAACAGTGCAGAGTGAGAAAATATTTGCTAAATAAAATAAAGTAAAATAAAAAAGTTACACAATAAAATAACAATAACGAGGCTATATACAGGGGGTACCGGTTCCAAGTCAATGTGTGGGGGTACTTTTGGACCTAGACATGGTGCTCCAGTACCGCTTGCCGTGCGGTAGCAGAGAGAACAGTCTATAACTAGGGTTGCTGGTGTCTTTGACATATTTTAGGGCCTTTCTCTGACACCACCTGGTATAGAGATCCTGGATGGCAGTAAGCTTGGCCCCAGTGATGTACTGGGCCATACGCACTACACTCTGTAGCGCCTTACGGTCAGATGCCGAGCAGTTGCCATACCAGGCGGTGATGCAACCAGTCAGGATACTCTCGATGGTGCAACTGTATAACTTTTTGAGGATCTGAGGACCCATGCCAAATCAGTCTCCTGAGGGGGAATATGCGTTGTCGTGCCCCCTTCACGACTGTCTTGGTGTGTTTGGACCATGATAGTTTGTTGGTGATGTGGACACCAAGGAACTTGAAGCTCTTGACCCGCTCCACTACAGCCCTGTCGATGTGAATGGGGGCGTGCTCGGCCCTCCTTTTCCTGTAGTCCATGATCAGCTCCTTTGTCTTGATCACGTTGAGGGAGAGGTTGTTATCCTGGCACTACACTGCAAGGTCTCTGACCTCCTCCCTATAGACTGTCTTATCGTTGTCAGTGATCAGGCCTACCAATGTTGTGTCGTCGGCAAACTTTATGATGGTGTTGGAGTCGTGCTTAGCCATGCAGTCGTGGGTGAACAGGGAGTACAGGAGGGGACTAAGCATGCACCCCTGAGGGGCCCCCGTGTTGAGGATCAGCGTGGCAGATGTGTTGTTGCCTACCCTTACCACCTGGGGGCGACCCGTCAGGAAGTCCAGGATCCAGTTGCAGAGGGAGGTGTTTAGTCCCAGGGTTCTTAGCTTAGTGATGAGGTCTCAGGGCACTATGGTGTTGAATGCTGAGCTGTAGTTAATGAACAGCATTCTCACGTAGGTATTCCTTTTGTCCAGGTGGGAGAGGGCAGTGTGGAGTGCTATAGAGATTGCGTCATCTGTGGATCTGTTGGGGCAGTATGCGAATTGGAGTGGGTCTAGGGTTTCTGGGATGATGGTGTTGATGTCAGCCATGACCAGCCTTTCAAAGCACTTCATAGCTACAGATGTGAGTGCTATGGGGCGGTAGTCATTTAGGTAGGTTACCTTGGCGTTCTTGGGCACAGGGACTATGGTGGCTTCTTGAAACATGTAGGTATTACAGACTCGGTCAGGGACATGTTGAAAATGTCAGTGAAGAAACTTGCCAGTTGGTCAGCGCATGCTCTGAGTACACGTCCTGGTAATCCGTCTGGCTCTGCGGCCTTGTGAATGTTGACCTGTTTAAAGGTCTTACTCACATCGGCTACAGAGAGAGTGATCACACAGAACAGCTGGTGCTCTCATGTATGCTTCAATGTTGCTTGCATCGAAGCGAGCATTAGTGGCATTTAGCTCGTCTGGTAGGCTCGTGTCACTGGGCAGCTTGTGGCTGGGCTTCCCTTTGTAATCCGAAATAGTTTGCAAGCCCTGCCACATCCGATAAGTGTCAGTGCCGGTGTAGTAGGATTCAATCTTAGTCCTGTATTGACGCTTTGCCTGTTTGATGGTTGGTCTGAGGGCATAGCGGGATTTCTTATAAGCGTCCGGATTAGTGTCCCGCTCCTTTAGCTGTTGCCTGTAATCCATGACTTCTGGTTGGGATATGTACACTGTGGGGACGACGTCATCGATGCACTTATTGATGAAGCCGGTGACTGATGTGGTATACTCCTCAATGCCATCGGATGAATCCCAGAACATATTCCAGTCTGTGCTAGCAAAACATTCCTGTAGCTTAGCATCTGCATCATCTGACCACTTCCGTATTGAGTGAGTCACTGGTACTTCCTGCTTTAGTTTTTGCGTCTAAACAGGAATCAGGAGGATAGAACTATGGTCAGATTTGCCAAATGGAGGGCGAGGGAGAGTGTTGTACGCGTCTCTGTGTGTGGAGTGAAGGTGGTCTAGAGTTTTTTTTTTCCTCTGGATGCACATGTGACATGCCGGTAGAAATGAGGTAAAACAGATTTCAGTTTTCCTGCGTTACTACACAGACAGTAACAGTGAGAAGAGTGACAAATCATCATACCTCCGTCCTCGCTGTGTTTATACCAGCCAAACTTCTTCATCATTTTCTTCTTGGCAACAGCAGCACCTTGTTAGGAGACAAAGGAAAGGTTGACTATATGGGTGCAAGGCTGTGTTTGTCTGCGTGTGCATTTATTTGTTTGTGTGTGTGTTTATATTTGTATGTGTGTGTGTGTGTGTGTGTGTGTGTGTGTATATATGTGTGTCTCAGTCAGTCAGTTAACCATACGTTTATTTCCTTCCTCATCCACATCCTCGGCCTCGATGAGCCAGTCCATGTAGCCACACATGTCCTCCTCCATCTGCTTCTTATTCTGGGCGTCCTGCAGCTCTCCACGAGCCACAGCCTTCTCTCTTTCCTTGGAGAACTCGCTACACACAGAGACACACGTACAGATGCACATGTAGAGGGTCAGCACACAATCTATACTCGGATAAGGCCTTCACACACAAATGTAAAACAAGACAAACATACACACAAACTTCCACTCACTCACCCGCTCAACACTCCCAATACAAGGTTGAGTACGAAAAACGAGCCAAATATGACCAGAGAGACAAAGTACACCCAGGGCATCTCAAAGCCTATTGCATCGTTCATCTGCAGGAATACAGAAAGAGACAGAGGGAGATTAAGCATGGTTAATCGTGCTTCTACATCTGCATTGCTTGCTCTTTGGGGTTTTAGGCTGGGTTTCTGTAGAAGCACTTTGTGACAACTGCTGATGTAAAAAGGGCTTTATAAATACATTTGATTGATTGATTGATAGATTATCAGACACTGTTTTATATTTATATTAAGATAGATCATTTAAGTAAAATTAAATCAGAGGAGTAGTTAAGAATAGGAAGAAAGAAAAGTCCTAGGGCTGCATCCAAAATGCCATCCTTTTCCCTATGTAGTGCACTACTTTGACCAGGTCCACAGGTCAAAAGTAACGCACTATAGGGAATAGGGTACCATTTATGATGCAGCCAAGAAAGAAAAGAGAGGCTGATGTTACCCAGTATAGCACATCGGTCCAGCCCTCCATGGTGATACACTGGAACACAGTCAGCATGGCAAAAAATATGTTGTCAAAATTAGTGATCCCGCCATTAGGCCCCTCCCACGGTCCTCTGCACTCTGTCCCATTGCCCACACAATCGCGCCCATTTCCAGCAAACGCACACGGTGTGGGGTCATCATCCACGTTCAGTTCTGGGAGAGAGGACAACATGAGGAGGTCACTCAACGTGACAAATGTCTTAGTCTTCTTAGTAAAAAGATGGAAATCTTCCAAAGCATTAGGTGATAACAAACTTTTATGTAAATAACTTGTTTACCCCTGTCTGCGTACAATGACTCAAATGTAACTCTTTAATATAGTGTTAGGGTGTGTATGTACAGTATGGAGCAGTGTATGTACAGTACAGTACAGTATACTTGTTTGTGTTGTAAGTGAAGTTTGTACCTGTGCCCACGTAGAAACAGGTCTTGTGCATCCTGCCGAGGAAGAGCTCCAGACCGATAATGGCATAGATGATGATGACAAACATGACCAGTAGACCAATGTGGAGCAGGGGAACCATGGCTTTCATGATGGAGTTCAAGACAATCTGGAGACCTGGACAAACACACACGCACACACACATACACACAGCCGAGAGATGAGTTTTACTGAAACACACACACACACACACACAAACACACACACGCAAACTTACTGGGCACACCAGACACCAGCCTAAGGGGTCGCAGCACCCTGAAGGCTCTGAGAGCTTTGACATCCAGTCCTCCTGGTTTGCCTGCTGCGTGGTGGGCCTCTCCAGGCTTGTGGTCGGCTGTGCCCTCAGCAACCACACTGAACAACCTGCAACAACAGCCGCACAACAACAATACAGCTCAAACACCATAAACAGAAAGGAGGGGGCAACAGAAGAGGAATGGAGACATGAGCTAGCGTACCCGACGACAACGATGACAAAATCAAGCAAATTCCAGCCACTGCGGATGTAGGCGCTAGGGTGCATGACCAAGCCATAAGCCAGGATCTTAGTGAAGGTTTCAATGGTGAAGATGACCAGGAAGACGTACTCTACTTGTTCCTGCACTCACAGAGAGGGAGAAGACAGCATGGTCAAATATACATACTTCCTAATTTGTCTGTTACTGTAATCAGTCAAGAGCAAAGACAACTGTTGGGAAAATGAGGTAAAGACATTTTACAAGATGTCTGTGGATGTTCATAATGCAGGGTTAATATCCGACTAATATCCAAATTCATATATTATATTTAGGGATGTAATGTTTCATGTTGATATATCTACTGCATGTGGGGTGGCAAGGAAGGCAGGCACTGTCACGTTGACGGTTTATACTGTACATGTATACTGTAGGTCTAAATTAGTGCACAGGAATAGGGAGCCATTTTGGAAGTAGCCATAGTCTGTCCTATAGGTAGTGATTACAGTAGCTTCAGCCCTGTTAACTTACTGCCTAAAACAGGTTTAATAAGCCAGTCACTAGAGCGCTAGTCAGTAACCCTTGGACTAATGCTTCTTAATGCTGCTAATCTCTGGCACCACAGTCGCTAGGCATCAGGCTGGAATAGGAATGCAGCCAAAACCTGGCTATAGCATCGTGGTCAAACAAGGTGATGTGACAGATTAGAAGGTCAATATACAGTACCTTAACTATGGAACGATAAACTGTAGTGTAATGAATGAATGAAGACAGCGATTGCTTCATTCTATTCAACTCAGGACAGCTGAAGTCCCTGAAGTGAGGACCATTACCATATAAGTATTTATTAACACAATACTAAGAGGCATTGTATGTGTCCATGTACATACACTACATGACCAAAAGAATGTGGACACCTGCTCGTTGAACATCTCTCTCCAAAATCATGGGCATTAATATGGAGTTGGTCTCCCCTTTGCTGCTATAACAGCCTTCACTCTTCCAGAAAGGCTTTCCACTAGATGTTGGAACATTTCTGCGGGGAGTTGCTTCCATTCAGCCATTACTGAGGTCTGGCACTGATGTTGGGCGATTAGGCCTGGCTCACAGTCGGCGTTCCAATTAATCCCCCAAAAAAGGTATAATGGGTTTGCACTCAAAAAAATATATTTTTGTTTGTCTGAATTTGCGGGTTTTACGCACCAGCCAAGCTTCTGGGAGAGCGTGATGGTTCTCTTTTGATGAGGCGTTCCAATTCATCCCAATGTGTTCGATGAGGTTGAGGTCAGGGCTCTGTGCAGGCCAGTCAAGTTGTTCCACACCGATCTCGACAAACCACTTCTGTATGGGCCTCGCTTTGTGTACGGCGGCATTGTCATGCTGAAATAGGAAAGGGCCTTCCCCAAACTGTTGCCACAAAGTTGGAAGCACAGAATTGTCTAGAATGTCATTGTATACTGTTGTGTTAAGATTTCCCTTCACTGGAACTAAGGGACCTAGCCCGAAACATGAAAAACAGCCCCAAACCATTATTCCTCCACCACCAAACTTTACAGTTGGCACTATGCATTCGGGCAGGTAGCGTTCGCCTGGCATCCGCCAAACCCAGATTTGTCAGTCGGACTGCCAGATGGTGAAGCATGATTCATCACTCCAGAGAACGCGTTTCCACTGCTCCAGATTCCAATGGCGGCGAGCTTTATACCACTCCAGCCGATGCTTGGCATTCTGCATGGTGATCTTAGGCTTGTGTGCAGCTGCTCTGCCATGGAAACCCATTTTATGAAGCTCCCGACGAACAGTTACAGTGAGGGAAAAAAGTATTTGATCCCCTGCTGATTTTGTACGTTTGCCCACTGACAAAGAAATGATCAATCTATAATTTTAATGGTAGGTGTATTTGAACAGTGAGAGACAGAATAACAACAAAAAAATCCAGAAAAACGCATGTCAAAAATGTTATAAATTGAATTGCATTTTAATGAGGGAAATAAGTATTTGACCCCCTCTCAATCAGAAAGATTTCTGGCTCCCAGGTGTCTTTTATACAGGTAACGAGCTGAGATTAGGAGCACACTCTTAAAGGGAGTGCTCCTAATCTCAGCTTGTTACCTGTATAAAAGACACCTGTCCACAGAAGCAATCAATCAGATTCCAAACTCTCCACCATGGCCAAGCCCTAAGAGCTCTCCAAGGATGTCAGGGACAAGATTGTAGACCTACACAAGGCTGGAATGGGCTACAAGACCATCGCCAAGCAGCTTGGTGAGAAGGTGACAACAGTTGGTGTGATTAATCGCAAATGGAAGAAACACAAAAGAACTGTCAATCTCCCTCGGCCTGGGGCTCCATGCAAGATCTCACCTCGTGGAGTTGCAATGATCATGAGAACGGTGAGGAATCAGCCCAGAACTACACGGGAGGATCTTGTCAATGATCTCAAGGCAGCTGGGACCATAGTCACCAAGAAAACAATTGGTAACACACTACGCCGTGAAGGACTGAAATCCTGCAGCGCCCGCAAGGTCCCCCTGCTCAAGAAAGCACATATACAGGCCCGTCTGAAGTTTGCCAATGAACATCTGAATGATTCAGAGGAGAACTGGTTGAAAGTGTTGTGGTCAGATGAGACCAAAATCGAGCTCTTTGGCATCAACTCAACTCGCCGTGTTTGGAGGAGGAGGAATGCTGCCTATGACCCCAAGAACACCATCCCCACCGTCAAACATGGAGGTGGAAACATTATGCTTTGGGGGTGTTTTTCTGCTAAGGGGACAGGACAACTTCACCGCATCAAAGGGACGATGTACCGTCAAATCTTGGGTGAGAACCTCCTTCCCTCAGCCAGGGTATTGAAAATGGGTTGTGGATGGGTATTCCAGCATGACAATGACCCAAAACACACGGCCAAGGCAACAAAGGAGTGGCTCAAGAAGAAGCACATTAAGGTCCTGGAGTGGCCTAGCGAGTCTCCAGACCTTAATCCCATAGAAAATCTGTGGAGGGAGCTGAAGGTTCGAATTGCCAAACGTCAGCCTCGAAACCTTAATGACTTGGAGAAGATCTGCAACGAGGAGTGGGACAAAATCCCTCCTGAGATGTGTGCAAACCTGGTGGCCAACTACAAGAAACGTCTGACCTCTGTGATTGCCAACAAGGGTTTTGCCACCAAGTATGTTTTGCAGAGGGGTCAAATACTTATTTCCCTCATTAAAATGCAAATCAATTTATAACATTTTTGACATGCGTTTTTCTAGATTTTTTTGTTGTTATTCTGTCTCTCACTGTTCAAATAAACCTACCATTAAAATTATAGACTAATAATGTCTTTGTCAGTGGGCAAACGTACAAAATCAGCAGGGGATCAAATACTTTTTTCCTTCACTGTATTGTGCTGCCGTTGCTTTCTAGAGGCAGTTTGGAACTCGGTAGTGAGAGTTGCAACGAGGACAGATGATTTTTATGTGCTACGCGCTTCAGCACTCGGCGGTCCCGTTCTGTGAGCTTGTGTGGCCTACCACTTTGCTGCTGAGTCGTTGTTGCTTCTAGACGTTTCCACTTCACAATAACACCACTTACAGTTGACCGGGGCAGCTCTAGCAGGGCAGAAATTTGACTAACTGACTTGTTGGAAAGGTGGCATCCTATGACGGTGCCACGTTGAAAGACACTGAGCTCTTCAGTGAGGCCATTCTACTGCCAATGTTTGTCTATGGAGATTGCATGGCTGTGTGCTCGATTTTATACACGTCAGCAATGGATGTGGCTGTAACAGCTGAATCCACTAATTTGACGGGGTATCCACATACTTTTGTATATATAGTGTATGTTATGTTTGAGTGTTAATGTGCTGTAAATCACTGTAAAGTTTTCATACTGGAATCACTATAGTAGAGAGGGGGGTATTACAGTGAAGCCTCAGACTTCAGCCTGAGTTCCCCTCCACAAGTCTAATCCAATAAAGGGATCCACGGCGGAGGGACATAAGTACAGTACTTACCAACCACTCTCCTGCCCCACAGCCAAGCAGATGGACGAGACAGACTCAGCATGATGAGGTAGTGTACTACCCCCCATCCCCACACTCCACTCCCATTCGAGGAATTCCCTCAAGGGTATACTAATAAAATATCACTCTACTAAAAGATTACATTGTCTAAAAGATTACATTGTCCACCCCCATATCTCTACCTCTAAATTCCTTGCTTTATTCTGCTCATGTAGGCCTTTTTGTTTATTATGAGTGAGCTATAGTTGAAGTCGGAAGTTTACGTACACCTTAGCCAAATACATTTAAACTCTGTTTTTCACAATTCCTGACATTTAATCCTAGTAACAATTCCCTGTCTTAGGTCAGTTAGGATCACCACTTTATTTTAAGAATGTGAAATGTCAGAATAATAGTAGAGAGAATTATTTATTTCAGCTTTTTATTTCCTTCATCACATTCCCAGTGGGTCAGAAGTTTACATACACTCAACTAGTATTTGGTAGCATTGCCTTTAAATTGTTTAACTTGGGTCAAACGTTTTGGGTAGCCTTCCACAAGCTTCCCACAATAAGTTGGGGGAATTTTGGCCCATTCTTCCCGACAGAGCTGGTGTAACTGAGTCAGGTTTGTAGGCCTCCTTGCTCGCACACGCTTTTTCAGTTCTGCCCACAACATTTCTATAGGCTTGAGGTCAGGGCTTTGTGATGGCCACTCCAATACCTTGACTTTGTTGTCCTTAAGCCATTTTGCCACAACTTTGGAAGTATGCTTGGGGTCATTGTCCATTTGGAAGACCCATTTGCGACCAAGCTTTAACTTCCTTACTGATGTCTTGAGATGTTGCTTCAATATACCCACATAATTTTCCTTCCTCATGATGTCATCTATTTTGTGAAGTGCACCAGTCCCTCCTGCAGAAAAGCACCCCCACAGCATGATGCTGCCACCCCCATGCTTCATGGTTGGGATGGTGTTCTTCGGCTTGCAAGCAACCCCCTTTTTCCTCCAAACATAACGATGGTCATTATGGCCAAACAGTTCTATTTTTGTTTCATCAGACCAGAGGACATTTCTCCAAAAAGTACGATCTTTGTCCCCATGTGCAGTTGCAAACCGTAGTCTGGCTTTATTATGGCAGTTTTGGAGCAGTGGCTTCTTCCTTGCTGAGCGGCCTTTCAGGTTATGTCGATATAGGACTTGTTTTACTGTGGATATAGATACTTTTGTACCTGTTTCCTCCAGCATCTTCACAAGGTCCCTTGTTGTTGTTCTGGGATTGATTTGCACTTTTCGCACCAAAGTACGTTCATCTCTAGGAGACAGAACGCGTCTCCTTCCTGAGCGGTATGACGGCTGCGTGGTCCCATGGTGTTTATACTTGCGTACTATTGTTTGTTCAGATGAACGTGGTACCTTCAGGCATTTGGAAATTGCTCCCAAGGATGAACCAGACTTGTGGAGGTCTACAATTTATTTTCTGAGGTCTTGGCTGATTTCTTCTGATTTTCCCATGATGTCAAGCAAAGAGGCACTGAGTTTGAAGGTAGGCCTTGAAATACATCCACAGGTACACCTCCAATTGACTCAAATTATGTTAATTAGCCTATGATAATCTTCTAAAGCCATGACATCATTTTCTGGTATTTTTCAAGCTGTTTAAAGGCACAGTCAACTTAGTGTATGTAAACTTCTGATCCACTGGAATTGTGATACAGTGAATTATAAGTGAAATAATCTGTCTGTAAACAATTGTTGGAAAAATTACTTGTGTCATGCACAAAGTAGATGTCCTAACCGACTTGCCAAAACTATAGTTGGTTAACAAGACATTTGTGAAGTGGTTGAAAAACAAGTTTTAATGACTCCAACCTAAGTATATGTAAACTTCCGACTTCAACTGGATAACCAGTGCCTATGAGAGCAGAGACATATATAGACTATTTGGAATTGTAATCTATAACAGATCACAGATCAGGTTCGAGGGGCTTGACGTGGTGATGGAGTCAGACCCCAACTTTTCCTCTTTAACACTATTATGGTTTAGGATTACACCCCTAACTTCTCTGAAACTGTTGTAATCTACCTGTTTTCCATAGTATTTTGATACATCCTTTGATATGCTACATCTCACAACGAGGCTTCCAGGCTTTTCTGATCGCCTTTCGTCAATTGATTCAATTGACATGGGTTCAAATATATTTGAAATTGTTCAAATACTTTGAGCATTTGCTTGAGTCCCAGATGGGTTTTGCACTTTAAGGAGCATTCCACTGATTCAATTGCGCCAAGCAAGCTAAATTAAGCAGATTTCAAATATCTCTATTTTAACCCAGGTTTGGTCCTTATATAGCACTCCCAAAATAACCCTCTCTTCAGCCTCTATGATCTCCCTGACTGACACCTCAGCCTCTGTATCAGCCGCCTTGCACCAACTCACCAAGTTGTGGTTGGTGGAATTGGAGTCCTCCTCTGGGAAGGGTTTAGATACACCCAGGGCCACACAGTTGGCAAAGATAGCAAGTAGAATGAAAATATCAAAAGGTCTGCAGGACCACAGTTAAGGGTAAACACTAAACACCACATTGAATGCATCATTGATTTACAGTTTTTCTCAATCGCGTACAAGCAATTTTTGGATCTGTGTTGAAACGTATCTACAGCAGAACAGCAATGATCAAATGTTCAAATACATTTACAGAACTTCTGATCATTTTCTTGCCTTAGTACCTGACTTGCATATCTTAGCCCACGTTTTGCCAAACTTTAAATACAAATGTCATCAGTGAATACAACATTCAGTGTTAAGTGTTTTGTTCACAGACTATAACACATTGGCAGTGTGGACATGCAGAGATGCAGCAAATGAAGTTGGGTTACTTCTAAGTAACTTTGGGTTACTCCTAAGTCATCATTTCCAACATTTTGACCTTCCATTATAGTAGGGCCGGGACGATATCAGTATCGCAATATTTTTTCCGTGGCAAAAATGAAACCACAAAGCAGCTCTCACTCTTTGGTCCTTTACAAACCTGCTGTATGTAAAATAGTGTTTACTATAGCTTTAAAATAAATAAATGTGATTCTGGATGACAACATAATGATATTTGTTTCCAACATTAGGGCTGTTTTCCTAAAGAAGATAAATCCACTTCGTGTTTTGTTTCCTTGCCACGACACTAATGAGTATCGCGATACTGGTATCATCCCAGGCCTACATTATAGAGCTTTGTTTTGGTGATGCTTGAGGCCTATACATTCATATCAGTTGTGTTCCTCTATTGTAATCACCTTTCCTTATTTCTATTTAGTTTTTCTGTGCGCCAATGTAAAGTCTACAAAACTATGAGTAAACCAGCCTATGAATTGAATACACGGAATTGGATTTTGATGATACCAACGAATGAATCCTGAAAACAATGTGCTTATTTTAATTTAAATTTTTTATAAGGAATAATATTTGATTTGATGTGTATGAAATTGTTTTATAAAATACGCATAAAAGGAGAGTAATTGCCCATAATACTGCACCATTGGATAGTTGTACTTCCAATGTTGATCATCTTGATTTACTGACTGCAAAGAAAATGTATTGATCAACTGGAATTTTTTAAAGACAGACTAACTTTCTGTTACGGTTGCGTTATTCTTTTTACAGGCAGTTGTGCTCTTTTGATAAATATATTTGGAATAATTTTGGTGGTATAATATAGTTATGATGAATGTATTTATGTTTTGAGAAGACCACTGCATTTTGAAAATGCATTTACTGTTTTGCGAAAGGCCACAGAGGTCTGTGTCTCGTGGACTCTGTTTTGAAAATCTACACAATTTTGTTACAAAAAATGCTTGTATGTGATTCAGACCTTTAATAGGGTCTCTCAACACTGTAGGGGGTTTAAATGCTAACTCACACACATGCACACACACACACACACACACACACAGAGGTACATCATCATTGAAGGATATTTCCATTCAACAAGGGCTAAGGCAGCCATGCGGATGGGGTTACTGAGGGTGAGGCAGCAGAGGGCTCGGGGAGCTCGGAGAGCAGATTTGTTGGCTTGTATCTGCTTCTTCTGTCCTCCACCCCTCTTCTTGCCAGAGGCAGCAGAGCCGAGGGTGTCGGACTTGTCTCCGGCAACCGAGCCGGCCAAGGAGACGCCATCCTCTGCAGGAGACAGAGACAAAGATTGTCACCATTCATTTACCAATTTCATTATCTAGGTTATTTCTATGTAGTTACTATGCACTACTGTGTGTATACAATGTTGTGTACAATTTAATTTCACTTTGTTTTTCAGTCTTCAATATCTATCAAGTGACCTACACTTCAATATTGTGTAAATTACTCAAAAACTGGCCAATATTCATCTACAGTAATGACACAAGAGTAAGTAAGTAGCCTTGCACGAGCCGGAACGGCTCATAGGAGCAGGAGCCTATTTCCTGTTTCTGTAGCGTGAGGCAGCTTCATGTACAAGTACACCCCCTGGACAGGACGCTAGTCTATCGCAGGGACTTACCCCCAATCTATCTCCTTAATGCTGAGTGCCAAGCAGAGACGCATTGGGTCCCATTTTTACAGTCTTTGGTATGACCCAGCCGAGGATTGAATTCCAAATCTTCCAATCTGAGAGCGGACACTCTAACCACAAGGCTACTGAGATGGCTAATGAAACAACAGTATTATGATCATATTGGATAAGATTATTGACATGTGGCCAGGGGTTAGACAGGTATTGGTTTCAGCCTGGATTTGATTGGACTACCTACAAGATACAGTAATATATGATAGGCCTACAGAGTATATTAACGGTATGATAGGCCTACAGGGTACATTAAGGTGTGATAGGCCTACAGGGTATATTAAGGTGTGATAGGCCTATAGGGTACATTAAGGTGTGATAGGCCTACAGGGTACATTAAGGTGTGATAGGCCTACAGGGTACATTAAGGTATGATAGGCCTACAGGGAACATTAAGGTGTGATAGGCCTACAGGGTACATTAAGGTATGATAGGCCTACAGGGAACATTAAGGTGTGATAGGCCTACAGGGTACATTAAGGTATGCTAGGCCTATATGGTACATTAAGGTGTGATAGGCCTACAGGGAACATTAATGTGTGATAGGCCTACAGGGTACATTAAGGTGTGATAGGCCTATAGGGTACATTAAGGTGTGATAGACCTACATGGTACAGTAAGGTATGATAGGCCTACATGGTACAGTAAGGTCCCATATTGAGTAGAACAGCTGTGACCCAGTTCTTTAGTTGGACACCTGTTGATAAAAGGGCCGTTTGACAATATGCCCGCCCACTGCCCCCAGCCATAAGTGTTGGCTATTATTCCTTATTGTGTTTCGTGATAATGCTACTGTATATAGGCCTAATGGTTTTAAATTGGATAATGACACAAATCTGACAAGAGTTGTTTTTTAAAGTGACTAGGACTAACAGTTTATATTGTAGGAGATCCTTGAGTTACAGCTGCTGTTCAATATTATTTTAATAAATTATATTACATACATTATGCCCATTGATTCCTGAAGGATATTAAAAGCCTTATGAGTCATACCCTATTATAACCCAAAAGCTGAGGTTGTATTACATCATTGTTTATGTTGTTTTTGCATTGTCATTTGTAAACAAACAAAGTAAAGGTTCAAGATACGTTTAGAATTACAGTATCATGACAATCTCATGGACTTTCAGTCATTGCATGCGCAGCAATGAATTTATACTTTCTCAGCTGCCCCTTACTCCATTTACAAAACAAAGTCACAGGGTCAGCCTTTTACAATTACAGATTGGGAGCAACCAAAACGACGTTTTGCATGGCCTACATTTTACCTTTTCCTGCCATGTCGCAGCTCAAAACCACGATATGCCTTCAGCTTCAGAGAAAGAGCCACCATCAAATAGTTTTGTAAGTTGCAGAGTTTGACTGACAACCAATGTTAAAATTGGCTGTGCATCGCGTATTGACACTTGTTAAAAAAATAAAAAAATAAAATGTTATAGAGAGCAAGCCATTTCATAATCCGTGTCAGTGCTCCACACCGGTAATTGGTCCATCCTTGTCGTACTATTTCTACAGCAAATTACTCATTAAATCTGATATTCTTATTTATTGGTCCAATGCAGCAGCTTTTTCTTTACCATGTAAGCCCAGATAAAAATGGAAAATAATCATAATAAACTCGTTCCAACACACTCCGCAGGTTGCTAACGATCGGCTGTGGTCAGTCTTGAATTCAGGATTAGAGTAATTGAGCCGTTTAAAGGGATGACCGTGAAATATTTTAAAGGGAGGGCAGAGGGAACGTAGAGAAACTTCTGGTCAGTGTGGTCCATGGATATGATTAATAAAATTCTACTACTAGACCAGCTTGCGCCAAGTCCTTTTGGACGCATTTTCAGCACCATGGACAGCAATCGATCAGTCAAGGACAGACGAACAAGTTGTGCAGGGAGAGTTGCTGCATTTTACATTACATTTTAGTCATTTAGCAGACGCTCTTATACAGAGCGACTTACAGTTAGTGAGTGCATACATAATTTTATTTTTTCATACTGTCCCCCCGTGGGAATCGAACCCACAACCCTGGCGTTGCAAACACCGTGCTCTACCAACTGAGCTACATCCCTGCAGTGCACACCTTGTGGGGTTTACTTTTCTCGTAAATGCCCACTAAGCATTTACCGACGGTGACGTCTATTGGACGTATTTTTTAGGTCCTGTCCGGACCAGCCATATTATTTATTATTTATTTTTTGCTGCAGTCTGGACCGGCCTTGATTTCAATATCCAAGGATCTAGATTTTTGGTCCGGTCTGGACCAAATCTGAACCAATCAAAGACGTCTATGTTTGGTTCCGATTTTGTCCTGGTCTGGACTTGATTTCAATGTCCGGCCTATATTTGGCCCAATTATAGATGCCTATAATTGGTTCAGATTTGGTCCGGTCTGGCCTTGATTTGGCCCAAACATAGATGTCTATAATTGGCTCAGATTTGGTCTGGGCCGGACTGGACTAAATCTGAACCAATCATAGACATATATGTTTCACAAGTTTGAATGGCACAGTACAGCACAATAAGATTGTCTGCTGAATTACCTAAATGTAAATGCTTTTTTTTTTACACTTGCCAAGCATGCTGGGTATTAGTCTAATGAGCTCCGCACACCTAAACAAGTACACATTTGGTCGGAATGGACCAGATCCAAATCTGAACAAACATAGACTTTTAGGCTATGTTTCACACGTTTGAACATCACAGTACAGTACGGCACAATTTAGTCCAGTAGAGCACAGCAGAGGACAGTACATTACAGTAAAGTACACACACAGTACAGTAAAGAAAAGAAGAGTATAGTACAGTACTGTACAGTACAGTACAGTAGAGCACAGTAGAGCACAGTAAAGTAAAGAAAACTATAGTGTACTGTATTGAACCCTACTTTAATCTAATGTACTCTATTCTACTGAACTAAATTGTACTGTACTCTACTCTACTGAATTAAACACTATTGTACTGTACTGTACTCTACTGAATTAAACTATACTGCACTCTACTGAATTCAACGCTACTCTACTGTAATGTAATGTACCATACATTTACATTTTAGTAATTTAGCAGACGCTCTTATCCAGAGCGACTTACAGTTAGTGAATGCATACATATTTTATTTTTATTTTTATTTTTATTTATTTTTATACTGGCCCCCCGTGGGAAACGAACCCACATCCCTGCCGGCCAAAAATCTGTCGATGTGCCCTTGAGCAAGGCACTTAACCCTAATTGCTCCTGTAAGTCGCTCTGGATAAGAGCTTCTGCTAAATGACAAAAACAAACAAACAAACAAAAAATTGTGTGATGTTCAAATGTGTGAAACATAGCCTAGAAGTCTATGATTGTTCAGATTTGGATCTGGTCCATTCCGACCAAATGTGTACTTCAAATGTGTGAAACATAGCCTAGAAGTCTATGATTGTTCAGATTTGGATCTGTACTTGTTTAGGTGGGCAGAGTTCATTAGAATAATACCCAGCATGCTTTGCAAGTGTTTATTATTTATTTATTTTTTACATTTTGGTCATTCAGCAGACACTCTTATCCAGTGCGATTTACAGTCAGTGCATTCAACTAAGGTAGATAAACAACAGAATACAGTATCAGTCATAAACCAGGTTTCCATCCAACTTATTTATGCAAGTAAAGTACATTTAGGATAAAAAATGTCAAGACAGGCCTGATGGAAGCAGCTAATTTGTCGGTAAACTTTCCAAATATCAACAAAACTAAATACATTAGAAAAGATGGGATCTTTTTGTGTTGGTAAAATTAATTATGCGAGAAATAAAAAACACTTTTATGCGCAAATATTGATATAATAACCATCATATCGAAGTAAACTGGGACTCACGCGATGACATGTTGTGTGGTCCTCCACTATGACTTGGGAAAGCATGCAGTTTATTAGGCTACAGATTAAATACATTATGATGAACTTCACAGGGTTTTGAAAGTGCAAGGTGATGAGTTTGATGCTCCTTTCCAATAAAAATCGAGGGTCTTATTCTGGTGACATGATGATCCATGCTTGGCTGCCATTTGACAAATCAAAATAATCTCGCTCTTTTGTCCATAATAATGTCATCATGTAGGCTATTCCAGCATGTATCGCGAGCTGGTGGCTAGTGGCTAGTGTCACGCCTACTCCTGCTCCCTCCCACTGGCGCTCGACGTCACCGGTCTACTATTCTGTAGGTTTACTACTTTGAACATCATCGCTGCCGGTTCTAAAGCATTTGACAAAAGCTAACATTGTGCATGTGACAGATGGGTGCATTATTATTGTGATATAATGCTTACTTCATTGAGAATGTAAGTGCAGATTAAATTTGACCATAGAAGCAATGATAAGGGCTGTGGTCCTCTCTAGCTCAGCTGGTAGAGCACGGCGCTTGTAACGCAAAGGTAGTGGGTTCAATCCCCGGGACCACCCCATACACAAAAATGTATGCACGCATGACTGTAAGTCGCTTTGGATAAAAGCGTCTGCTAAATGGCATATTATTATTATTAAAAAAATATGTATTTTCAACGTCTATAAATGACGTCTTTTCAACGTTCGGAAAATTCGTATTTTTTACTTCCGTAAAATGCATATTTTCACCATTAATTCAGCACCTAAAATGCACCTGAAGTCAACGTCTGGGAAAATACGTCTAAAAACAACTTTTCAATGTCATTTTGATTACTGGGTGGGGTCTGGTATACAATGTACAGTATCTTATGTCTAAGTTTAATGCAGAAGCATTTTCTTTACATTCATTTGTATATAATTAATCATTATTAACATTAGCATGCTGCACAGAATATTTGTGTCGTCCCCCCACCCCCGTGCTGACCTCTGCTGGTGCATGTTTTCAGTTGTTATTGTTCGACCAGGCAGGATGCATCTATTCTTCGACTTTGATCATCAAATCTAATCATTTATAATAGGCTGATTGCAGAATAACATAATGACAAGATATTGCAGATGTAAGGCATATTATTTAGTAAATGAAGTGTAAATATATTTTGACAGCATTGGAGAAAAAAAATCCATAGAAGGCAATGATCAAAGAAATACACAATATTCTCAATTGAATACAATTTTACACAATGAAGGCAGACTGACATTAATGTTATTGGCACCAAATAATGCTTGGACAGAGAGGCATAAATAATCCTGGTAAACATTATTGGAATAATGGCATCATAGAAATAAATTTCATTATATTTCTATGCAAAGTGTACAGTTGTTCCACAGTTGCCCTTCTATCCCAAAAACACATTTAAACTTTCAACTGCATTACATTGCCAAACCCAACAACAATAGAGGATGGACAATAACACAAAAAGCAGTGTGGTCAGGAGTTACAGAGTAGTGGCTCATCAAACACATTTAGGTTTCTATGTATGCACTCACTAACTGTAAGTCGCTCTGGATAAGAGCGTCTGCTAAATGACTAAAATGTCAAATGTAAAAATGTATGTAAAATAAATGTTGTAACCATAACACTGCCGTTAAATTACATTTTAAAAACAATCTTATGGTAGCACTCACCACATCAAATGTCTGTTAGGAGGCCACATTTACTTCTCAGTGCAGTTTTTCAGCTAACATAATGTATTTTTTAATTTCTGAGGATACAATGTAAACTCTATATTAGGAGCTTGTCATGGTGTGCAAAATGACTTTAGGGTCATTTGTTAGTGTGTGCATTACATAGGCCTAATTGATTCCACAGGATTTGCAATCTGTTACACCATTTTCGTGACACTGCGATATCATAACAATCACCATTGCTTTACTTCCCTCCTCTCTTCCTCTACTTTTCTTGCACTCTCAGTCTGAGAGGCCTTATTCCATTTAGGTCTCTAGCCCCTACCCCTGTGATTACATATCTGGGCAGGACAGGATATGTGAAGGAACTTAGCTTAACTTATCGTCATCACCATATTGCTAACATTTATCCATTCCTTTCAGATCTGGGCATACCAAAGGAGCAAGAGGCAAGAGACTGAAATAGAACAGGGCACATGTCTCCTTTTTTCCTCCTCTCCTCCCCCTCTAAGATCCAGCTTCCTGTTCCTGTCCTAGTGACTCCAGTAGGAGCCCCATAGGTGTTCTCTTCAGACCAATGCTCTCCAGCTTGTTCTCCAACTTGTTCTTGAGGCTCCGCAGTCTAACAGAGGCGTGGATCAATACCACTGTAATAGCAATAGAGGGAAAGAGAAAATAGAGGTCAGGGGCATAACAAAGGGAGAGGGAGAGAGAGTATTGTTATAAGTTATAAACAGAAGATTGATATGTTTACATTGAGGCAACAAGAATGGGGAGAGGTGAAAGAGAGAATAGATACTAACATAAGATGGGGAAGGCTATGCCGAACAGGAAGACGGCCACTCCCCCAAGCACTGTGAGGAAGAGGTAGCTGGCCCCCAGGATGGCACCCAGGGCCAGGGATGGGTGGTTCCGGCGGAACCGTCTGATGGGGGCCTGGTTCTCTGCTGCCCACACAAACCCCATGAATATCAATGTCACAACTGTGGCTCCCAGGAAGAGGTTGAAGGGCTTGAAATACCTGTCAGACCAGGAGGGATAGAGAAATGGCTGATGTTAGTTGACTTTTCTCTACAGCTTATAACTCATTGTGTCCCATTGGGCCATGAATCCAATAAAATGATTAATCAGTCGATTATCATAGCCAATGGCTCGCTAGCTAATATATTATTATGGACCATGGACCCATATCCACAGAATTTGTGATGACTCGCACTACAATACAATTCAAAAGCAGCTAACAAAAGCAGCTGTGCTTGCATGCAGAAAACGACCACGTCAGAAACGTACCCTACTATTCCCAGGATTGTCAAAAACGAAACGAAATAGTTGGACTGGTAATATAGCAAGTTGTTTATGATCCGATTGTTCCATCTCTCCAGATTACGAATATCTGGCACAGCGAACCGAGCCGAGCCCAAAACAAAATCATCCAAGGTTCGGATAGGTGGCGGCTGCACGTCCATTTTTTCCATGTTCAATCTAACAGACCACATCTCCCATAATTCCAAGCGGGGTAGGGGGCGTGTTCGGTTACGGACTTGTTTAAAATAATCAACTGCCCGCATGTGGTGCGTACTTGATTGCATCAGAGGGGATTAATAATTTCAGCAAGCCATACAGAATCAACAATTTAATTATTTTTCCAGTCAATTACACTGTTAACACTTTTATTTTATTAAAACCAACAACTATGGTACAGCATTCTATACATTACATGTCACATGTTTTGAATGACAAAAAATATCAAATTGTGTCACAAAACCATCTCCACCTCTTCTTTTTGTTAACATAATACCAAATAAAGAGATGGAGTACGAAAGTGCTCTGGTTCATCGAAGTGGATAGACCTTATAGTGCTCAGGTGATGGGAATGCACGGCATAGTAGCAATAAAGGAGCGGAACAAACAGCAGAACAAAAAACAGTGGAAGCAGAACACATGAGCTCTGAATGTATTTGGAAATGGCTTTCCATTCCAGCCTTCTGAGTTTGTAAATGGAATCAAAAGATTGGTGTGTTTGTGATGTGGCATTGAATCCCTACCGAGTGGCGCAGCGGTCTAAGGCACTGCAAAGGCACTGCATCTCAGTGCTTGAGCCGTCACTACAGACCCCCTGGTTCGATTCCAGGCTGTATCACAACCGGCCGTGATTCCCATAGGGCGGCGCACAATTGGCCCAGCGTCGTCCGGGTTTGGCCGGCATCATTGTAAATAAGAATTCTTAACTGACTTGCCTAGTTAAAAAAAACAAAAAAACTCACGATTATGAAAGCTGCCATGAGGAGAGGAAATTGAATGATAGTGCAGTTCTCCTTCCTCAGTGCATTACATTTTACAAGCAAAATCAATTACATCAGTTTTGAACAGCATTGATTTTGTCACACCTGACACTAACTTCTGGTAAGATTGATAGACCTTCTAATCATAAATACTGTCATTACATACTCACACATACCTGTATTAATGCCTATTCATGTTTAGCTACCCATTCTATTTCTGTAAATGCGGTTATACAGCACCAAAAGTCTTCATCACCACAAAATTATGGGTTTGTGCATAAATTAATCTGATAAATGTGGGTATCATTCAGGACCAGTCAGAAGGAACACTGGTGTACCGGTATACACAAACATATTCATAAATAAATAACTAAATTAACCTGTAATCTACCCCTGAGGAATAATAATAAAGTGCATCTACGTTCTTATGACCATTGAGAGGATGGGGGCTGGTTTAGGGTGAGGTTGCTTACACCTGTGGGGTCAGGTTTCAGAGCACCCCTCTCCTCTCTAGTCTGAGATTGTCACAGTATGCATGGCTGTAGCTAGGCCCAGTAGCTCCATGGAACCTACTGGAACCCAGTCTGCTATTGGCTGGCATCCATAGGAGGAAGCTGGCTGGGGTCATCCACAAAGGGACTCGCTGGATAGGAGAAAGAAGCATAAAAAACAGATCTGTCATTTCTACTGTGGTAGTTACTGCTGTGTGGTGGTTTTCAGATTAATACAACTAGGGTTGTGACATTCATTCAATTCCCATCAAAATGTACATTTAGAGATAAGGTCCAGTTATCAGTAACAGGAAAATGATGTGTACCCCTTCACCTAATGTCACAGTGTATAAGCCTGACCTGACTGCACTGCTTGATTTGACTGCATACAGAGTTCAGTCAAATCAGGCTTCTACAATGGTTCCAGGGCCGTCTCTAAACATTACTTACGGTTCTGAAACTGCTGTGCGGTGTATCTGGTGAGAAGGATCCCAAAGCCCTCGATCAAGGCCAGCAGGATGCCCCCCATCATGGCTGACCCCACCATAGCCAAGGGCCCACCTGAGGAGAGCACAAAGCCAACAGTCAAGCCCTTGAGCTAATCTGACTTTGTTGGGTGGGTGGGGCAAGATGGTCAGGCAGGGGGTGGGGATGGCCTCAGATCAGAGGGTCTTGAAAAAAAGATGAAATATACTAAATCTGTTACATCTAGAATTAATGTTTGCCCCCAACACTAACTGCGTGCAGCTAGGACTGCCCCAGTCATTGCCCCACTAGTTAAAGAGTTCCAGGGGTCCTCTTTCCCTCGAATAGGGACCAGACAACAGTCGATTGTAGAGAAGAGTCCACCCCACACAGCAAAGCTACCTGCAGGAACATCACACAAACTGTTAGTGATAAATAGGGCTGGCACAATTACCGTATAATGTGTAACCGACGGTTATGGATAAAGACCATAATGAAAATAAAATAACCGTCATAACCAGCTGACTGACGACGGGACGGCCGGCATTCGTGATGATGGATGGTGTTTGTACTTTGTGCTGTACAAGAAAGAACTACTGTAAAGACAGTGACTCTTACCGCCGATCTGTAGAGCTCTTAATCTCACAGCATTGGCGCTACCTTTTAGTCTGTGCCGAAAGCCCTGTGCAGAGATGGAGAATTTTTTTTTCAGATCACTGTTCTTATATTGATCTTAAAATATCTTTCATAAGCTAAGAGAGAGTCTTTCAAACTCACCACAGGAGCATTCCGAAAGCTCTTGATTGACTGGAACACCCCTCCGCCGATGGCCCCCATGGTGAACGCACCACCACAGTCATCTACTATTCTCCAGGGACTGAGAAGTGTGTGTAAAGGCCATGGGTAAATAAACCACAATACAGACATATTAAAGATAAACCACTTGCCTATCTATGCATAAATATGTGGACCTATTACTGGTATATAAACAATTTACCTAATATACTGTAGCGACCTGCTTGGACAGTTATGTGCATGTGTTCTGTTGTTGTGTGGTTATCAGGCCACGTGTATCAGTTTGCTCTGTGTTTGGCGGGATCCAGCATGCCAGTCCCCTTTGCTGTCTGCCAATCAAAGGAATGCCTGGAAATGTTTCAGTGCCAGGCATCCTTGTGGTTGGTGGAACAGCGAGAGGGCAAACAGTAGCCTGTGTGAGTTCTGGTTAAAAAACCGTTCAATTTGAAAACTCGATCCTGTTTTGGACATTCTTTCATGTATGATCTATCGAGGTCATTACAATACTATAACTACCTACCAAATATACTACCTAATACTAGTTAATAGTAATATTAACTAGGATACGAATAATAAACCATTAACAAACCTTTTATAAAGATAATTTATAATGGCGAGTTTAAAGCAAGAACCAGTGTAAGCACCTGATTTGTCACATCCCTAACCAGCATAGCTAGCTAAATCTTCCACATCCTCAGACAATGTCTAGCGAGCTAGCTATGCCTAGCTAGTAGTAGCTATGTTACTCAACTTGTTTTGCAAGCTAGCTAACGTTACGTTACTGCTAGCGGACTAAACTCCACTCCATGGTGAAGGAACTTCATCAGAAACTTCACCATGGAGTGGAGTTTAGTCTGCTAGTTAGCTAATTCAACCATCATTTGCGTAATGACTCGGGCATAAAAGGCATAATAACCATTATGGGGAAGCAGAAAAGTATGTTGGCTAAAGAGAGATAGCACCAACATTGACAACCGTCTACTTAATTGTCTGTCTGAAATGTACTTCACCAAGGCTCACGGGCATATTCCTCCATGTTTGTTGTTGCTGTCCGGGCTGTGACGACACATCTCTGAGACTAATGCCACGTTCGAACCAACTGGGAACTCGGAAATCTCTGACTTCAGACTTCAGCCGCTCAAAACATCTGGGAACTCGGGGAAAAAACGAGCTCCGAGTGGGAAAAATCGATTTGAAAGGTCATCCAATCGGAATTCTAACTCAGGAACTCGGGCCTCTTTCTAGATCTCCGACTTTCCGACCTGAAGATCACTGACGTCATAATTTGACCTCGTATTTTTCCGAGTTCCCAGTTGTTTTGAACGCGGCAACCGACTCCCTCCCCCGAACTAATGTCGCTATCATAGTGCGCTTGGGCTGTGTGACTGGCTGCTAGCTGGATTTCGCTCCACGTCTGAACTAAAGTAAGGACACATTTGGATGCAGGTAATTATAAACGGTATTCACATTTGATTGCATTAACGTGTTCCCTATACGGCTATTTTTGATTAGCTGCAAACGTTAGTTAGCTAGCCACTGACGCGAGTGAGGTAGCTAGCTACGCGTTAGCAAAGAGTAAATATGGCTATTTAGCTAGTTTGAGGCAATCGACTGTATGAGGCTATAACGTTAATAATTTTCTCCTGTAGGATGCCTCTGCCCCCGGCGTTACTGGCTCGCTTAGCCAAAAGAGGGATTCTTAAGCACTCCGAGCAAGGTATGGCGACAACAACAACAACAATAATTTTTACTCACTACAAAAATGCTAGCTAGTAGCTAAAATCTTGGAACTTCCTGTCTCTAGATGCGGATGAGGAGATCATTGCTGAGGACTATGATGACAACAATGTAGATTATGAGGCCACTGCCCGTGAGAATTTACCTCCCAACTGGTACAAAGTATTTGACCCTATTTGGTAAGAACTCACTTTCAGATTCTCCACTAAACATGTAGATTGTACAACACCAATTGGGTATGGCTAGTGGACAGCAGCTATGATGGAGTGATTGTTTTTGGTTGTGGACTGACTTTAAGATTCCATGTATTTTGTATCCTTAGTGGTCTGCCATACTACTGGAATGTGGAATCTGACCTGGTTGCCTGGCTGTCCCCAACCGACCCCACATCTGTGATAACCAAAGCTGCCAAGAAGTTAAGGGGTAAGAAGAGTCCTAGCCTGACCAACCAGTAGAGCAGAGACTGTTTCATGTATTCCGACTCAATATTTAGGATGGATTTGATTCTGACAATCTTACTAACTCCAATATTCTCTGTGTTTCTATCTTACAGCAGAGGTTGGGGAGGACAGAGGAGAGCGACAAATTGAGAAGCCAGACAGAGAGAGGGAGCGAGAGAGGGACAAGGATCGTGAACCAGAAATGGAGAGAGAAAGAGGGAGGAATGATGGGAGGGAAAGAGACAGGCGGATGCAGAGGAGAGAAGACTTTGCCCCCTACAGCAAGAACAAACGAGGTAAACATTAATAACATTCTTCAGGAGGGACATTGCATCTCTTGCTCAAAACAAATATTGCAACCATACCCAAATCGAATGAATTATGTACACTTGCTAACAGGTTTCTGTAAACTGTATTTTTCAGGGAGGAAGGATGAGGAGATGGACCCAATGGATCCCAGTGCTTATTCTGATGCTCCCAAGTAAGGCCACTGACCCAATCATTCATCGCTACCTTTCCTTGCACCATACGCTTATGTCCATTGTCAGAAATCCCTGGCACTCTTTTTCTCCTGCCCTGTATGTAGGGCTGTGGAGATCATCACATTTTGTCAGCCGGTAACTGTCATGCAAATAACTGCCAGTCTCACTATAATTGAGCATTAATTAACATAAACACGTTTAGCATCTCCAGGCTTCAACGCATAGCCTACAATCCACTGATGCGGACCTTTGGAACATCTACATTTAAAAAAGTGTAATGAATCCATTTAATATAGCCTACACACCACAATAAATCCATTATTTATTTTAGGCAGTTCTAAATAAATATTATGATATGAAGAAAATGTAGCTTATTTCAGAAGAATAGAATAGCATATTCTGAGTCATCCTAATGTTAGGCCCTGATCTGGCTATGCCATATGGCTGTGGGCTACACTAGTTCATTTAGCAGGCAAGATTTGCTTGTAATTCCCGTGGCATTATTTTATAGTAAGAACAATACAATTAAACATAGCTGAATAAAATATAAATAATATTTTTCCCAAACGATTTCCGAGGGAGTGCGCACATATATTGGCATTCCACATGAGAAAGGTTGCCGACTCCTTTTGTAACGTATTACCGGCAACTTCAGGAGAGTAATGGCAGAATCTGCGAAAGCCAGCAGGAGCGGGAGGAGAATAGTTGGGCCAGGTTTTTTTCTTCTGGTTATCTAGATCTCTGGCGCTCTCTTGAGGCATCAAACCGTAAGCTTAACGCATCAGACAAGCTCAATGCATTTAGTTGGTTTTATTAAAACACATAGGGTGTGTCTATATATGGAAAAATAAAATAAAAAATTTGCCCAATCGATTGGTCGAAAGAACAGACTACTTTCGGTTGACCAAGATTTTTTTTAGACAGGCCTAAATTTAAGCATATAGGAGGACCTGTTTCAAATTATTACTTTATTATTCTGTTGAGTGGTTAATAAAGTGATAATTTGAAACAAGTCCTCTTATATGCTTAATGTTATACCACGGGTATGACAAAACATTTATTTTGACTGTTCTAAATACGTTTGTAACCAGTTTATAATAGCAATAAGGCACCTCAGGGGTTTGTGGTATATGGCCAATATACCACAGCTAAGGGCTGTGTCCAGGGACTCCGCATTGCGTCGTGCGTAAGATCAGGCCTTAGCCGTGGTATATTGGCCATATACTACACCCCCCGTGCCTTATTGCTTTATTTTATAGGAAGTAACGGTAAATGTACTACTGGTGATATATGTAATGGGGAATTGATATACACTGACAATCAAACAAAAAAACTATTCACAGAATGAAGTTATGAAACAATGAGTGTGCACAAATTGGTGGGAGAGAGCACATTCTGGAGAGAGAAGTGCATTGTGCATCTGGGCGCACGGTCAATCCGACGTCTGCATCGGCCATGCAGCATTTATGGTGATATGGCCTCAGCAGAAGTCAGGGCATTCATACTTCTTGCGCTTCGTGGAGCAGTGCAGAGCTGTTGTCAAGGAAGTGAGTTTGTGTTTATACAGGATGTACCGCCCTCACCTACCGTCAACCAATCATGTCAATGGGGAGCTATACAGAGCCCTCCGCATTGTTACTACATTTGGGAGGCGCATGGCGATGCGGTACAGAGCTCGATTTGGCCTCCTCATGCCTCTGTAGGCTCCGCAATTGCGCCACAACCTCCATATGGAGCCTCCGACCACATTTTCGAATCAAGCATAAATTGGCTTCAAGTCTAGGCCTCCAGTGGATTCATTCACTGAGATGGGCGCAAATATACAGTGCATTCAGAAAGTATTCAGACCCTTTGACTTTTTCCACATTTTGTTACGTTACAGCCTTATTCTAAAATTGATTACATTTTTAATCTATATACAATACTCCATAATGACAAAGCGAAAACAGAAATACCTTATTTACATAAGTATTCAGACCCTTTGCTATGAGACTTGAAATTGACCTCAGGTGCATCCTGTTTCCATTGATCATCCTTGAGATGTTTCTACAATTTGATTGGAGTCCACCTGTGGTAAATTCAGTTGATTGGAAAAGCACACACCTGTCTATATAAGGTCCCATAAGGTTTGACAGTTCATGTCAGAGCAAAAACCAAGCCATGAGGTCGACGGAATTGTCCGTAGACCCCCGAGACAGGATTGTGTCGAGGCACAGATCTGAGGAAAGGTACCATTGAAGGTCGCCAAGAACACAGTGGCCTCCATCATTCTTAAATGGAAGAAGTTTGGAACCACCAAGACTCTTCCTAGAGCTGGCTGCCTGGCCAAACTGAGCAATAGGGGGAAATGGGCCTTGGTCAGGGAGGTGACCAAGAACCTGATGGTCACTCTAACACAGCTCTAGAGTTCCTCTGTGGAGATGGGAGAACCTTCCAGAAGGACAACCATCTCTTCAGCACTCCACCCATCAGGCCTTTATGGTATAGTGGCCAGACGGAAGCCACTCCTCAGTAAAAGGCACAGGACAGCCCGCTTGGAGTGCCAAAAGGCACCTAAAGACTCTTAGACCATGATAAACAAGATTCTCTGGTCTGATGAAACCAAGATTCAACTATTTTGTCTGAATGCCAATTGTCACGTCTGGAGGAAACCTGGCACCATCCCTACAATGAAGCATGGTGGTGGCAGCATCATGCTGTGGGGATGTTTTTCAGCAGCAGGGACTGGGAGACTAGTCAGGATCAAGGGAAAGATTAACAGAGCAAAGTACAGAGAGAGATCCTTGATGAAAACCTGCTCCAGAGCGCTCAGGACCTCAGACTGGGGTGAAGGTTTAACTTCCAACAGGACAACGACCATAAGCACACAGCCAAGACAACTTAGGAGTGGCTTCGGGACAAGTCTCTGAATGTCCTTGAGTGGCCCAGCCAGAGCCTGGACTTGAATCCTATCAAACATCTCTGGAGAGACCTGAAAATAGCTGTGCAGTGACGCCCCCCATCCAACCTGACAGGGCTTGAGAGGATCTGCAGAGAAGAATGGGAGAAACTCCCCAAATACAGGTATGCCAAGCTTGTAGAGTCATACCCAAGAAGACTCAAGGCTGTAATCGCTGCCAAAGGTGCTTCAACAATGTACTGAGTAACGGGTCTAAATACTTATGTAAATGTGATATTTCCGTTTTTTATTTTGAATACATTTGCAAAAATTTCAAAACCTTTTGTGTGTATGTAGATTGATGAGGGAGGGAAAAAAACAATTTCATTCATTTGAGAATAAAGCAGTAACATAACAAAATGTGGAAAAAGTAAAGGGGTCTGAATACTTTCCGAATGCACTGTATGTGTGGAATAATTTATTTAGAATGGCTTACAAAAAAAAACGTATTTTCCATAGCCTGTACTTGAGACATCATCTGTATGCACTTGAATAGCGAATGGAGGACGCTTCTCCTGTGGTTCATTTTCATGCCAGCCAGGGAGGCTATACTCCGGTTGTAACGCGAAGCAATGTGCTTAATATTAAGAAAGTTGAGAAATAAATATAGTAGGCCTAGCCTATAGAACGCTGATGGGATCCTCTTTTTAAGAGGCCATCAACTCTGTTTTCTCACGCAATTGCATACCATGTAGAAAAATTGCGCAACATGGGCTATAGAAAATGCATTTAATTCCATGCATCAACCAGCTATAAGGAGCTGGCTCTCGCTGCAGAACAGGTGATGCTATTCCGCTCACTCTGAATGCCATGGCTCTCATGAAGTGTTTGATTTGATATTAACTTGTATTTTCAGTGACGTCAGTGATTAGAGGGACAATAGAGCGCTGAGTACCAGGCCATTAGCAAGTTTGGTAGACTACTAATGACCATCAGCGGCATTCAGAGTGCAGTGTTGAAGAAGCCTAGTTACCGTGTCAACGGTCACAACTTGTGACTGTCAGTAACACGGTCACGGTAACAGCCCTTCTGCATGTATCTAAAATGTATTTTTCTCCACACAGGGGCAATTGGTCCACTGGCTTGCCCAAGCGTAATGAGGCGAAGACGGGGGCAGACACCACGGCAGCAGGGCCTCTGTTCCAACAGCGGCCGTACCCCAGCCCTGGAGCTGTACTCAGGGCCAATGCAGCCAATAAAAAGCCCCCCAGTGATGACGACGACGACTGACCACAGGGGTTCACACTCAGCGGGAAACAGAACTGTGGGCTTCTTGCCTGCTGCATTTGGATGTTACCTTTCTATTCTCAATCCATACACTACATGGAATGTGAGACTCCTGCTGACAAAGCTTATCTGGTGAGGCGGAAACAAGTTGTGCTTTAGTACATTTGTAAATATTACTTGGTATTCTTTTTGTATGACTCAATGTTACCTGTAGGCCACCTTTTTATACTTTCAATGATCATCAAATGAGTGGCATTTGCAAAGTAAATAAAGACTTGAACTGTTTTTATTTGTATTAGAAGAGAGGTATATGTGCAATGCTATTACAGTAAACATGGCCAATAAAGGGTATCATTCTGAATATTGTAGTATTGCCAATAACATGATTATGCCATTACTGTTACAATATTGCCACATCTCAAGTCAGGACAAAGCACAATAAAATGGCTTTGCTGTTGACATGATTTTATTACAAAGACACACTGACAAAAGTTACTCACTGTACATACACACTTGCATTTTATGACCAAACTTTGTAAAATGAAAACGACATATCCACTGTAAGAGGATGTTTGGGGCACGTTGAGATCAGTGGTGTAGTGGAGGGTAAAAGCACTTAAACACTTTATGCACCTTTTTATGTTGTGCGATCGTTTACCCACCTAACGTGTAAAAATGCATTGAAAGTATAGGGAGCGTTACTTTATTCCCCCACCAATATTTTACCACTACATCACTGGTTATATGGTAAGACCGGAGAGTGTCAGTGATCTCCCCCTCCTACGTAATGGCAGATGGAGTCATAGTCCAGGGTGAAGACTTTCTCCTCATATCTGTCCAGCTGTACCATGGCTCTGCTCCGGTCTCTGTCCCTCTGGAGGATACGGCCCACCTGAAACACACACCGTGTCATTAAGAACGGACACTTGTGAGAATATTCAACATTTTGTAGTCCTTCAATCCAATCAGTAATGAACGCTATGATACACAATTCCGCATGGATATTTTACAGGCAAAGTGATTACGATGTGCCAACCAACCCATCCACTCACCTGCCCCCTGTGTTCACCGAGTACAACCATGATGTCCTCCGAGTCACTCTTTGGCACAATGGTCTCCAGCATCGTCTGTTTCACATCTATGTTATCATGAAGACATTATTGATGGAAAAATAGATGAGTAGAGGGAACACCAATTAAAATAATATGGGTTGGAGTGAGTAGAATGTAATTCAGCAGTAAACATTGAGAACTCACCATCTAAGAATCTGCCCTCCTCAGTACGACACACACAGATGTTTGGCGTCAAGACATCCTCTATTCGCATCTTCAAGAAACCAGCATAGGACATTAATTAAACTGATTCTAAAGATCATCAACACAGAACTGTAGTGGGTCATAAAGTGTCAACAGGCAATTAATTGTGTATCAGCGCCCCCTAGTGTTAATACCTTTGAATTGTAGTACCTTCCCCCTTTGAAGGCTTTATCTACAAAGCGAACTTTCAGGTCTCTCTGGAGCCAGGAGGGGGCAGCAGGAGGTAGCTTTACCTGGGGCTTCTCTCTAAGGAGAAAAGGGAAAACGTGATAGTGCAAGATGGGAGATCAAGAAAAAAAAACATTACAAATTTGAAGCATTATTTACTTTATGTGTTATCAAATGAAATGGTGTGAGTAAATAATAGCTTTAGATTTGTAATTCTATGAAGGAGTACTATAATCCAACATAAACACCAACTAATCCAAGTCATTAGTTATCCTCTTGTATTTCTTATAAATCCTACACTTCCAACCTCATCCAATATTTTCAGGATACTCTACCTGTCCTGACTTGAATCCCGGTGTTTCCTTTTTCTCTGGTCCTTCCCTCCATCTCTGTCCCTCTCAGAAGATCTACTTTTCTTCCTCTCCTCTTCTTTATTACTCCTCTCTTTCTCCTCTCGTCTCTGCCGTTCCTTCTCCTTCTCCTTGTGGGCCCTGCTGAGGCGACCTGTTTGGTAGAAAGATAGTGTTACAATTGCAATGTCACAAACAGTCCAAGGGGACTCCATTAAACAGTTTCATCAGAAATATCAAGTAGTCTCATCTGCATTATCGCTATAGTAGTGCTGATACATATTTACCTATTCAGCAATAACAAATAAGCCACATGAGAGCAGTACAATTAGCCTGTTCACAAACAGTTCCAGTATATATCTGACTGGCATTGCTTATGTGTGAACCTCCCTCCACTCCAGGAACAGGTCCTTCTGATTACTGACAATAAGAGTAGTGACAGCATGGCTGTTTTGGGTTGGAATGGGCAAGGCCAGATGGCTCCTTTTCACACAGAGGATCAAATGTCACTTAGCTAAAGGAGAGAGAGAGCCTCTAGAATCAGCCCAGCTCATCACTCAACAACAGACCAGTCTGCCCTTTAGGGCTGTTATCCTTGTTCTGGTCTAGAACTTTCCATCTATGTAGGGAGTGGGTGTCTCACAATATTGCCAAGAAGACAATATTGGAAATAATAATGGAAAGAACATTTCCATGACATGTCTGTTTGCTCAACTAAAGTATTCCAATATTTTATGGTAAACAGGTTCAATGTCATTTCAGACAGAAATCACTGGAAGGAGAGAGACTTACTGAGGTCTTTGCAGTTTCTGTCATATTCTGTGCGGTCAACCAGTTTCAGTGCATATTGACTGATTGTCACAGTCTTGCTACCAATCGCAAGCTTGACCACTACTCGTGCATTGTCCGGATCAACTCCTTCAATCTGTAACATAGGAATGTTGGGGCAATAGGAGGGATGTAGCGAGGAGGAGGAGGGGGAGACAAAACAGCCAATTAAAGGCACAAGTAGAGAGACAGTTACATTTGAGCAACGTGAAACTAATTGTCTTGCTCTTTTTAAATACGTAATCAAACTAAAACAACAACTATGACAGCTAAGATAGCCTACGAGATAGTGATATGCCACAGTGTCATGTTCTCAGGAGATTTCTGTTGCTTTCTGTAGTTCCAGAGAGTCCAGACACAAAAAGCCAGATATCTCACCTTCCCGTACAGGTCCTTGTGTGCTCCAGACTCCACCAGCACATGGCCTCCAGGGCCCAAGACCAGGCTCTCCTCCTTCCGCTCATCGCCTGGCTTGGGGGGCCTCCGGGGCCCACTGGGCTCCAGGTCCCTTATAGCAGAGCGGTCAGCTCCCAGACCCAGACCCTTCGGCCTTAGCTGGTGCTCTATGGGCTTCACGTCCCTGGAGAGAGCAAGGGAGGGGGGGGGGGGGGATTAGGTGGGACCTCCTATGTGTGCACACGTAATTTTTTTAAAATATATATATAGAATTATGGCCCTAATTATAGAATTACATATAGAATCCCTATTAATTTAATAGGATCTCTGTAAGCCTAATAGAAAATATATGTCATTTAACTTTTAAAATGTATTAGCCTACCTTATAATGTGGCATAAACACAACCAGTCATGTTTTTATCTGATTGTCAAACAATTACTTCAAAAGGCACATGTAGGCTACCTGCGTATGTTACTCAAGGACAGCGTTTTCTAAGCCTCATTTAGATATTTTTCTGCTTATAATTTCCGACATTTGGTAGGCTATTTGTTAGTCAACTTGTCTATAATTAGATAGCCTATATGCAGCTTCTCTTCTGTTATTTGATGCTTGTCTAGAATTCTAAATAAAGCCTTGCTCACCAGAATAATGTAATAAATCGATAGAATGATCAATGCATCATCAACAATCTTGTTGGCACCGGTAAAGTTCTCTTTAATTTCTTTAGGGACCAGGGAGATTTCCAAATGACGACAGTTTGACCGGTTTTAAGGAAATCAAAAGCTATGAAAATGATCCAACATGTACAGTGAGGGAAAAAAGTATTTGATCCCCTGCTGATTTTGTACGTTTGCCCACTGACAAAGACATGACCAGTCTATAATTTTAATGGTAGGTTTATTTGAACAGTGAGAGACAGAATAACAACAAAAATATCCAGAAAAACGCATATGAAAAATGTTATAAATTGATTTACATTTTAATGAGGGAAATAAGTATTTGACCCCTCTGCAAAACATGACTTAGTACTTGGTGGCAAAACCCTTGTTGGCAATCACAGAGGTCAGACGTTTCTTGTAGTTGGCCACCAGGTTTGCACACATCTCAGGAGGGATTTTGTTCCACTCCTCTTTGCAGATCGTCTCCAAGTCATTAAGGTTTCGAGGCTGACGTTTGGCAACTCGAACCTTCAGCTCCCTCCACAGATGTTCTATGGGATTAAGGTCTTGAGACTGGCTAGGCCACTCCAGGACCTTAATGTGCTTCTTCTTGAGCCACAACTTTGTTGCCTTGGCCGTGTGTTTTGGGGTCATTGTCATGCTAGAATACCCATATACAACCCATTTTCAACGCCCTGGCTGAGGGAAGGAGGTTCTCACCCAAGATTTGACGGTACATGGCCCCTTCCATCGTCCCTTTGATGTGGTGAAGGGGTCCTGTCCCCTTAGCAGAAAAACACCCCCAAAGCATAATGTTTCCACCTCCATGTTTGACGGTGGGGATGGTGTTCTTGGGGTCATAGGGAGCATTCCTCCTCCTCCAAACACGGCGAGTTGAGTTGATGCCAAAGAGCTCGATTTTGGTCTCATCTGATCACAACACTTTCACCAAGTTCTCCTCTGAATCATTCAGATGTTCATTGGCAAACTTCAGACGGGCCTGTATATGTGCTTTCTTGAGCAGGGTGGACCTTGCGGGCGCTGCAGGATTTCAGTCCTTCACTGCGTAGTGTGTTACCAATTGTTTTCTTGGTGACTATGGTCCCAGCTGCCTTGAGATCATTGGCAAGATCCTCCCGTGTAGTTCTGGGCTGATTCCTCACCGTTCTCATGATCATTGCAACTCCACGAGGTGAGATCTTGCATGGAGCCCCAGGCCGAGGGAGATTGACAGTTCTTTTGAGTTTCTTCCATTTGCGAATAATCGCACCAACTGTTGTTACCTTCTCACCAAGCTGCTTGGCGATGGTCTTGTAGCCCATTCCAGCCTTGTGTATGTCTACAATCTTGTCTCTGACATCCTTGGAGAGCTCTTTGGTCTTGGCCATGGTGGAGAGTTTGGAATCTGATTGTTACCTGTATAAAAGACACCTGTCCACAGAAGCAATCAATCAATCAGATTCCAAACTCTCCACCATGGCCAAGACCAAAGAGCTCTCCAAGGATGTCAGGGACAAGATTGTAGACCTAGACAAGGCTGGAATGGGCTACAAGACCATCGCCAAGCAGCTTGGTGAGAAGGTGATAACAGTTGGTGCTTCGCAAATGGAAGAAACACAAAATAACTGTCAGTCTCCCTCGGCCTGGGGCTCCATGCAAGATCTCACCTCGTGGAGTTGCAATGATCATGAGAATGGTGAGGAATCAGCCCAGAACTACATGGGAGGATCTTGTCAATGATCTCAAGATAGCTGGGACCATAGTCACCAAGAAAACAATTGGTAACACACTACACCGTGAAGGACTGAAATCCTGCAGCGAACGCAAGGTCCCCCTGATCAAGAAAGCACATATACAGGCCCGTCTGAAGTTTGCCAATGAACATCTGAATGATTCAGAGGAGAACTGGGTGAAAGTGTTGTGGTCAGATGAGACCAAAATTGAGCTCTTTGGCATCAACTCAACTCGCCATGTTTGGAGGAGGAGGAATGCTGCCTATGACCCCAAGAACACCATCCCCACCGTCAAACATGGAGGTGGAAACATTATGCTTTGGGGGTGTTTTTCTGCTAAGGGGACAGGACAACTTCACCGCATCAAAGGGACGATGGACGGGGCCATGTACAGTCAAATCTTGGGTGAGAACCTCCTTCCCTCAGCCAGGGCATTGAAAATGGGTCGTGGATGGGTATTCCAGCATGACAGGAGTGGCTCAAGAAGAAGCACATTAAGGTCCTGGAGTGGCCTAGCCACTAATCCCATAGAAAATCTGTGGAGGGAGCTGAAGGTTCGAGTTGCCAAACGTCAGCCTCGAAATCTTAATGACTTGGAGAAGATCTGCAAAGAGGAGTGGGAAAAAATCACTCCTGAGATGTGTGCAAACCTGGTGGCCAACTACAAGAAACATCTGACCTCTGTGACTGCCAACAAGGGTTTTGCCACCAAGTACTAAGTTATGTTTTGCAGAGGGGTCAAAAACGTATTTCCCTCATTAAAATGCAAATCAATTTATAACATTTTTTACATGCGTTTTTCTAGATTTTTTGTTTGTTATTCTGTCTCTCACTGTTCAAATAAACCTACCATTAAAATGATAGACTGATCATGTCTTTGTCAGTGGGCAAACGTACAAAATCAGCAGGGGATCAAATACTTTTTTCCCTCAATGTAAGTCCAATGCCAAAAACCTGATGCAACAAGAGTGGATAATATTGATATAAATAAAGCAGACATAGCAACCCAGATATTTTAAAGGCATTAAAAACTAAACAGGGATTGGGGATGAAGACTGACCATGAGAGAGAATACTCACTGTTTGAAGGTCCGCCCAATGCCCTCTCCGGCCTTCCAGCCCATCCCCTTCAGCATGGCTAACCCGTACACCTCCACAGGAACACTGTCATAGTCTGCCTCTGTGGACTGAACACACAGCAACTGATCAGACACACATCACATTCTGTATGCAGTCTCAGATACTGAGAAAAACAGACATCACTCTTTACACAACCACTGGTACAGTCTAATGCTCTGTACATCTGATTGTCATTTGTGTCAGCCTGCCAGATAGTGTTTCTATAGACTGACAGATGCTTGTGTACGTCCGGACACCATACACAGACAGAAATAGCTGATTCCAATGTTGTTGTTATACAATCCTTTGGCTCTGGGCTGACAGACTCAGTCAGACCAAGTTGACTGAGGTCACCAACCACATCACAGCAGTGTAGAGAGATGCTGCTGTCATTAATGTGGGTGCTGTCTGTCCTAGTGCCATGCTTGTCACTAGCTCCCTTATGGGCTCTGTCTGCCCTAGGGGAAGCTGGGATCATCATAATGGTGGAAGAAGTAAAAAGGTGGAATGAGCCAGCTCCTCAGCCCCTCCCTTATACAGTGCCTTCAGAAAGTATTTTTTGGAAACTTTTTGAAAATTATATATTGAAATAGGTAATTTACATAAGTATTCACACCCCTGAGTCAATACTTTGTAGAATAACCTATGGCAGCAATTACAGCTGTGAGTCTTCGTGGGTAAGTCTCTAAGAGCTTTCCACACCTGGATTGTGCAACATTTGCCTATTATTCTTTTCCTATTTCTTCATGCTCTGCCGTATTGGTTGCCGATCATTGCTAGACAACCATTTTCAGGTCTTGCCATAGATTTTCAAGTACATTTAAGTCAAAACTAACTCGCCCACTCAGGAACACTCACTGTCTTCTTGGTAAGCAACTCCAGTGTAAATTTGGCCTTGTGTTTTAGGTTACTATCCTGCTGAAAATATAATTCATTTCCCAGAGTCTGGTGGAAAGCAGACTGAACCAGGTTTTCCTCTAGGATTTTTCCTGTGCTTAGTTCCATTCTGTTAATTTTTTGTCCTGAAAAACTCCCCAGTCCTTAACGATTACAAGCATACCCATAAGATGATGCAGCCACCACTATGTTTGAAAATATGGGGAGGTGTACTCAGTCAGTAATGTGTTATATTGAATTTGCCCCAAACATAACACTTTGTATTCAGGCCACATTTTTTGTATTATTACTTTAGTGCCTTGTTGCAAACAGGATGCATGTTTTGGAATAGTTTTATTCTGTACAGGCTTCCTTCTTTTCACTCTGTCAATTAGGTTAGTATTGTGGAGTAACTACAATGTTGTTAATCCATCCTCAGTTTTCTCCTATCACTGCCATTAAACTCTGTAACTGTTTTAAAGTCACCATTGGCCTCATGGTGAAATCTCTGAGCGGTTTCCTTCCTCTCCGGCAACGTAGTTAGGAAAGACGCCTGTATCTTTGTAGTGACTGGGTGTATTGATACACCATCCAAAATGTAATTAATAACTTCAACATGTTCAAAGGGTTATTCAATGTCTGCTTCCTTCCTGGTCTTTGTGGTTGAATCTGTGTTTGGAATTCACTGCTCGACTGAGGGACCTTACAGATAATTGTATGTGTCGGGTACAGAGATGAGGTTGTCATTCAAAAATCATGTTAAACACTATTATTGCACACAGAGAGAGTCCATGCAACTCATTATGTGACTTGTTATGCACATTTTTACTCTTGAACTTTTTTAGGCTTGCCATAACAAAGGTGTTGAATACTTATTGACTCAAGACATTCAAGCTTTTCATTTTTTATTAATTTGTTTAAAAAAAAGTGAAAAACATAATTCCACATTATGGGGTATTGTCTGTAGGCCAGTGACAAAAACAATCTCAATTTAATTCATTTTAAATTCAGGCTGTAACAAAACAAAATGTGGAAAAAGTCAAGGGGTATGAATACTTTCTGAAGGCACTGTATCTACAGTCAAGGCAGATGTGAGATGACAGTGATGAGTGGGTGGGGGGAGGGGTGATGAGGAAGAGATGCAGAAAGGAAGATGACTGTTGGTCTCTAGGGAGAGGGAGGGCAAGCGAGTGTCATCTCGTTCGTAAGATGCTGTCAGATCTGAAGTGAGTACGTGTCGTGCACACACACACACACACTCCTCTGTTGGCACTGTTCTGTTTGGTTGGTGGAAATATCCTGCGGTCAGCACTTTCACACGGTCTCTGCTTTCAGTCCCAGTTAAACTGGTCAGTCCACCTCCATCTGTCATCGCACACACTCTGTTGATCTGACTTTCACACACTCTTGTTCATCCATCGCTCTCTCTCATTCACTCATGCTTATAATAACTTTCCATCTCTGTTTATGTATCAACTTCTCTCACGTAACCTGAACCAACGTTCAATCCCCCTCTGTAAAAGTTGCCTGTCCTAATTTGATTTCACACATAACATTTGCTGTGAAAATGCATTGAATTTCCTTCACAGCCCAATGACACAAGACCCAGATGGTCACAGACAAGGTTCCTCTGACGCTTGCCCCATACTTACAGTCTCTGGTCGCAGGTCCACTTTGATGTGGTCTCCATCTTCAAACCCCTGTGGAGCCTGGTTCTGCATTAGCAGGGGGATGGTGAGGTTGGGGTCTGCCTGGTCGCCATTTTTCCACTGATCAAGCTGCCTCTGGGATTCTGAAAGAGAGATAAGATGTTGAAAGAGTACTAATAAAGTATTCACTGTGGATTCACAACATTAGGATAAGGTGTTCATTTCTGAGAGGCTATTTTCATTGAAGTAGTAACTGAAGCTGACACAAACATACACAGACAGACATACACCTTCAATAATTTCTTTGACAGCCTGTGATTCCACTGAGTCGTGCTCCTGAGAGGGGGGTTGTGTTTTGGCCTTATCCCCCCCTCCATCACCGTGCCCCTGGACCTGGCCAGCTCTGTTTTCCTGCCTGCTGCACCAGCGATTCCTTTGGATGAGTGGAATGATCAGCTCCTTCGGCTTCTCCACAGGCTTGGTACTAAGAAAACAGACAAAGGAGGTAGAAAGCATTTACTAACTAGACAACAATTAGCTATGCAAAGGCTATGTCCCAATTATCTCTCCTTCCTCCCAAAGTGTGCACTTGTTCACTTTTCTTCACTGACTTGAAAGGAAATGACTGGTATAAGAGATACCGTGGAAATTCCCACTAGCCCATGGCTCCACTAATCCAGATCTTTGGGAAGTAGTGAATGATTGTACACACAATCAGGAGAAAGTAGATATTGGGACACACCCCCAGGCCTTTTCTAAATTGGATTTGCTCAACTCCTGCATCCTCTCTCCTTTTGAAAAGGGTCAAAGGTAATCGAGGAGAGGCCGCTAGGAGAGGGAACGGCCCATGGGTCTCCCGGTCGCGGCCGGCTACGACAGAGCCTGGATTCGAACCAGGATCTCTAGTGGCACAGCTAGCACTGCGATGCAGTGCCTTAGACCACTGCGCCACCCGGGAGTTATATATGAATGGACAAAGCCATCGATCACGTGACACCATTCATTCCTATGTGTAGACTCAATGGTACATTTGAAGCCAAGGGAGTCGGTTAAGATGGTGTCTCATGTGGGACATTTATGCCAACATACATTTGAGTTTGAGCTACTCCAAGAAGTAATGTTGCAGGCTAACTCAGTGCTGCCCCCTCTCATTGAGTATCTCAAGTTGAAGTCCGACCAAGTTACTGCAGGCTGCCATTAGCTACAAAGTAAATTATCCTTATAACTTCTGTGTGCGATTTTAAAATAATTGGTTTAAGGACATACATCTGGTGTAATAGAAGCAATTATTGGTACCATAATTGTCTTCAAGAAATGTATTTATTTACATGAAGATTGACCACGAAGATTGACATTTTCCCCTTCACTATAAATGGGGGATTCTGTTCTCTGCAAACAATGCCTGCAATACCGAGGTCGACCTTGAACTTTGTGGGTTCAATAAGAGGGGGCAGTCGTTCTGGTGAACGTGGACAAAAATGGCTTGTATAAAATGAGACTCTCCTCCATTCGCACATCATCAGATAAAAGACGTTTAAGTGCTCCTGAGTAGAATGGACCCCTCTTTTACTGTGACACAACGTACAGGCAATTATGTACGCTTTATTTATTTTTACTGCATTTAAGCTGATTGGACACTCTTTAAGGGCCGCAGAAATGAGCAGCGACGCTCCTCGGGGTGTAAACTCTAGAGGTGCTCCTGAGTAAAATGGACCACCTTTTCACTGCGACACAATGTACAAAAAATTGTGTATGGTGCAATATGTATGTCCAATATGAACAACGTACTGAATGGGTTGAATAACAAAGGGATTTAAATGTTTTCTAAAGTTGATTATTATAATTATTTTAATAATACTGCTATTGCTATTATTGTTAATAGTAGCATTATAAATAATGTTTTGTTATTTGTATTACTGTTGTTACAATAATAACTATCTAGTATCATTACTTTTAATAATATTATTTAGGCTATTAACTATTTTCCTTTTTTGATATTGTTAAATAAAATTCTAAGTCTGCTAACATTTCCTAATAACATTTTAAAATTTTAACCATTAGTATAATTTTTACCATCTTCATTGCGGGACTTTTATTTTGAAGGGAAATCACCAGGTCACAGCCTTATTCTTTCTATGACTTGCTTATTCTTGCTGGCTTCTCAGAGGTTATATCGAGGAGGGGAGGACACTCTTCCGTTAGCCTACTAATGAATTTACATTTCCTCAAACACTTAGCGGTTTCCGGGTCACGGAGGAGAATGTGTGGAGGACGGACTTTTGTCCAATTGAGAAAAGGCCCCAGTCTCTTGTGGACAGATGTCACATCAAGAAGCTGGTCGGCGCTCACGCGAGAAATCTGGGCTACGAGATTACTAGTATGCAGGGCACTCCCCAGTAGCAGCAGTCCCCCATAACAATGAATGGAATTCTACAGTATTTAATTTAAATATTTCAAGGATAAAATTACATGTACAGTGGGGAGAACAAGTATTTGATACACTGCCGATTTTGCAGGTTTTCCTACTTACAAAGCATGTAGTGGTCTGTCATTTTTATCATAGGTACACTTCAACTGTGAGAGACGGAATCTAAAACAAAAATCAAGAAAATCACATTGTATGATTTTTAAATAATTAATTTGCATTTTATTGCATGACATAAGTATTTGATCACCTACCAACCAGTAAGAATTCCGGCTCTCACAGACCTGTTAGTTTTTCTTTAAGAAGCCCTCCTGTTCTCCACTCATTACCTGTGTTAACTGCACCTGTTTGAACTCGTTACCTGTATAAAAGACACCTGTCCACACACTCAATCAAACAGACTCCAACCGCTCCACAATGGCCAAGACCAGAGAGCTGTGTAAGGACATCAGGGATACAATTGTAGACCTGCACAAGGCTGGGATGGGCTAAAGGACAACAGGCAAGTAGCTTGGTGAGAAGGCAACAACTGTTGGCGCAATTATTAGAAAATGGAAGAAGTTCAAGATGACGGTCAATCACCCTCGGTCTGGAACTCCATGCAAGATCTCACCTCGTGGGGCATCAATGATCATGAGGAAGGTGAGGGATCAGCCCAGAACTACACGGCAGGACCTGGTCAATGACCTGAAGAGAGCTGGGACCACAGTCTCAAAGAAAATCATTAGTAACACACTACGCCGTCATGTTTTAAAATCCTGCAGCGCACGCAAGGTCCCCCTGCTCAAGCCAGCGCATGTCCAGGCCCGTTTGAAGTTTGCCAATGACCATCTGGATGATCCAGAGGAGGAATGGGAGAAGGTCATGTGGTCTGATGAGACAAAAATAGAGCTTTTTGGTCTAAACTCCACTCGCTGTGTTTGGAGGAAGAAGAAGGATGAGTACAACCCCAAGAACACCATCCCAACCGTGAAGAATGGAGGTGGAAACATCATTCTTTGGGGATGCTTTTCTGCAAAGGGGACAGGACGACTGCACCGTATTGAGGGGAGGATGGATGGGGCCATGTATCGCAAGATCTTGGCCAACAACCTCCTTCCCTCAGTAAGAGCATTGAAGATGGGTCGTGGCTGGGTCTTCCAGCATGACAACGACCCGAAACACACAGCCAGGGCAACTAAGGAGTGGCTCCGTAAGAAGCATCTCAAGGTCCTGGAGTGGCCTAGCCAGTCTCCAGACCTGAACCCAATAGAAAATCTTTGGAGGGAGCTGAAAGTCCGTATTGCCCAGCAACAGCCCCGAAACCTGAAGGATCTGGAGAAGGTCTGTATGGAGGAGTGGGCCAAAATCCCTGCTGCAGTGTGTGCAAACCTGGTCAAGAACTACAGGAAACGTATGATCTCTGTAATTGCAAACAAAGGTTTCTGTACCAAATATTAAGTTCTGCTTTTCTGATGTATCAAATACTTATGTCATGCAATAAAATGCAAATTCATTACTTAAAAATCATACAATGTGATTTTCTGGATTTTTGTTTTAGATTCCGTCTCTCACAGTTGAAGTGTACCTTTGATAAAAATTACAGACCTCTACATGCTTTGTAAGTAGGAAAACCTGCAAAATCGGCAGTGTATCAAATACTTGTTCTCCCCACTGTATTTAAGTATTTTTTGTTGTAGTGGGGCCAGTAACATTAGTAATCTCTACAAAAATATACAAAGGAAAATATTTGTATATATTTTTTCATTTTTATTTTTAGCTGACATAATATAATTTAAAAGTATGCATAAAGGTGTCTGTAATAGAATAAATGTGGAAAAAACAAAGGTAGACATTCATAAATGCATTTCTATAGCTTCTCAAATATTTGCTACAATGATGTATATGTGCAAAGATGAGAGGTGTGATGGCTTCAACACAGCACCCCCTATCAGTCGTCTAGTGTATATATACTGAATACAAAAAAAACATTAAGAGCATCTGCTCTTTCCATGACATAGACTGACCAGGTGAATCCAGGTGAAAGCTATGATCCCTTATTGATGTCACTTGTTAAATCCACTACAATCAGTGTAGATTAGGGTTGAATGGCGGGAACCCGGTAACCGAGATTTTCCGCCCAAAACCACTCCCTTTTCCCAGGATAAATAACTGTGAGAAACCGGTAAATTACAATAACTTATATATACAGTGCAAGTGTTCTAACATAGATGTTGTTCTACAGTGCATTCGGAAAGTATTCACACCCCTTCCCCTTTTCCATATTTTGTTGTTACAGCCTTATACTAAAATTGATTAAATAAATAAAAATCCTCATCAATCTACACACAATACACCATAATGACAAAGCAAAACAGGTTTAGACATTTTTGCAAGTTTGTATACACTACCAGTCAAAAGTTTGGACACACCTACTCATTCAAGGGTTTTTCTTTATTTTTACATTGTAGAATAATAGTGATAGGTCAGTCAATACGGAACATTTCAAGAACTTTGAACGTTTCTTCAAGTGCAGTCGCAAAAACCATCAAGCGCTATGATGAAAACTGGCTCTCATGAGGACCGCCACAGGAATGGAAGACACAGAGTCACCTCTGCTGCAGAGGATAAGTTCATTAGAGTTACCAGCCTCAGAAATTGCAGCCCAAATAAATGCTTCACATAGTTCAAGTCACAGACACATCTCAACATCAACTGTTCAGAGGGGACTGTGTGAATCAGGTCTTCATGGTCGAATTGCTGCAAAGAAACCACTACTAAAGGACACCAATAATAAGAAGAGCCCTGCTTGGGCCAAGAAACACGAGCAATGGACATTAGACCAGTTGAAATTTGTCCAGGGTGAACGGATGATCTCCTCATGTGTATTTCCCACCGTAAAGCATGGAGGAGGAGGAGGAGGTGTTATGGTGTGGGGGTGCTTTGCTGGTGACACTGTCTGTGATTTATTTAGAATTCAAGGCACACTTAACCAGCATGGCTCCCACAGCATTCTGCAGCGATACGTCATCTAATCTGGTTTGGGCTTAGTGGGACTATCATTTGTTTTTCAACAGGACAATGACAC